AAACATTTGGCTTCTGGCGCATGTCCTTTTTCCCCACTAAAGCATGACAACCTTGGCGATACGGAAACGGCTGAGAGACGTTCAGTGGCGTCTGAGCTGTCACAGCTTTGAAAGGGCAGGCGGGGAGCTGCCCACCGTGGCGTTTTCCTGCCTCAGGCAGGGGTCTGCGCTGGGGGGCCCCTGCAGGGACCGGCGGTCAGGGCTCTGCGGGGCCCCCGCCTCCTTGGGGCCGCCCAGGCGCAGCGGCAGCGGCGCTCGGGAGTGGGGGCGTGGCCAGGCCCGGCCCGCGCCCGGGTCTTCTGTCTGTCCAGGGTGTTCAGTGCCGCGGCTCGTTCCCTTCATGCGTCAACGTGGAGGAGCTCAGCCGTTCCAGGCACTTGGTCGTTGCCTGATTCCTTTGTATGGAAACTCCTGGCTCATCGATTTCACTGACCACAGTGGGGCCTGAGCGTCTGGATTTTACGTAGCTCCTCTGGTCATTAGGCAGCTGAACTGGAAGGAGCGCCCTACCCGGGGGCTCCGAGTTGGCGGACGTTCTCCGCTGTGCCTCAGGGGACCAGGGGAGCCCTTTTTCGCCAGGCTCTGGCAAATGAAAGGAGCCGAGTCCTTCAGGTTGGTTGTGGTTTCCGTTCAGACATGTATTGAAAGCCTCGTGCTCAGATTCTAGGGTTTTAGAAGTGAATTAAACAGCTTTGACCTACGAGAGCTCCGTGTACTGGTGAGAGATCCGCAACGAGGTGGTCTAGAACGTGTGCAGGCAGCGGGAGGCGTGCGTGGGCGCTGGCGAGGCCTCGGGGGTGGAGCGTGAGGGGGGGCTGCGGGGAGGGTCCGGGCGAGGGAGGAACGGGAGTGCGGGGTGAGGAGGAGGGTCGTGTCGGCCCCCCAGAGGCACGCGTTTTAGGGATGGGAGAGGGTCAGGCGGCTGGCGGCTGCGGGAACAGTGCCGGGAGGCCGTGGAGGAAAAGGCAGGCTGGGCCCTTCCCGGCCGGTGCGGCTCTGTGGCTGAGCGCCGGCCTTCGGGCCAAGGGGTCTCGCCCGTTCGGTTCCCAGTCAGGGCACGTGCCTGGGCTGCGGGCCAGGCCCCCGCTTGGGGGCGCGCGAGAGGCAGCCACACACGGCTGTTCCTCTCCCTTTCTCCCTTCCCCTCTAAAAATAAACAAAATCTTTTTTAAAAAGCAGGTTTGTTGAGAGCCCGCATTTAATACTGTCTGATTTTATGATGCCAATTTTCTTCGTCTCAACTCTAGACACAGCTCCGAAATGCCCTGGGCAAGACCTGCCAGAGCAGGTGACAGACGAGCCTTTCGGGGTTTGTCCCGTGCGCATCCGGCAGCCGTTCAGACGGGACCGGTTGTGTTGGGCTGCGACTTCCCTGTGTGTGAAGTTCGAGTGGCTTCTCTTTTCAGTCAAATTGATCGTTAAATGTGGCAATAAACCTGAAACGAATAAGGCAGTCCATAGTGCTCTCCGTACAACACACAGCACGGTCTGAGGCGTTTCGGGGTGAACGCACTTCAGTGTCTTTGGAGGCAGGACCTGCTTCCCACCACCCTAACCTGGCTGTGCCCGCGGGTGGCTCATCCTTTCCTTTCAGACAGGAGACCCAGCCCCTGGGCGAGGGCAGAGCCCCATCGGCCGGCCTGGCAGGTTGCCCGTGTGCCTGTGGGACAGGCCCCGGCGGGGGCTGGGGGTGGGGGCGGCTTCCTGGCAGCGCCGGTGCCGCTTCACGCTTCCGCCTTTGACTCCACATGTGGCCGTGGAGTCATGCGTGTTCTGAGATCACTTGCGCTTCGTGTGTTAGACGTGACGCTACTGCACCTCAGCTGCAGCAGGATTAAATAGCTGTTATGTGTCTGTATCTAGTAAGATGAGTGGCTTACTGTTTACTTTTTTCTTTTTTCAGTACAGTTGCAAACGTGTCCTTAAATGGAGCGCGAGCAAAACAAAAACTGTTTGGGGTCTCCTCTGAGGCTTCAGGTGGTTCGCAGTGTCCCTCCCGTCCCCTTCCTGGCACTGGTTTGGAACCTCCGGGGGCGACTGGCTTGTGAGTGTTCGGCTCCAGCAGGGCCGTGAGGTCAGGATGGGGCGTTGGACCCCCACCCTCCGTGCCCTGGTCGCTGGGGTGCGGCTGCGGGAAGGTCGAGGGGCAGCATCCACCCTCTCTCCTCGCCTGCCCCTGACAGATGGCTTTTGGAACTTTCCTGAAGTATGTAATCTTTTCGCCACAGCCTCAGTTTTCTAACAGAAGTCGCTTGCCCTGGCCTGCGTGGTTAGTCGGTTGGGTGTCACCCAGCAAACTGCAAGGTCGCTGGTTTGGTCGGGGCACACGCCGGGGTCGGTTGCGGGCCAGGCCCCCAGTGGGGGTGCGCTGGGGGCGCGCGAGGTGCAGCAGAGCAGCGTTCCTCTCTGGCATGGAGGTTCCTCTCCCTCTCTTTCTCTCCCCCCTGCCCCTCTCTCGAATAAGTAAAGTAAATTTTTTTTTAAAGAAAAGAAATTGTCTTTTTGTCCTGGATACTAGGAATGAAAGGAAGCAGCCAGACCTCTTAGGAGATCATTTCTTTGGGGACAGACGGCGGCAGTGCAGCCGTGCGCTTGCGACCGGGCTTGGCGTGGGGGCTGCGGCGGCGGCGGCGGCTGCCCCGGGAGGCGCGGCGAGTGCCTTGAAGGGAGTGGTGTGTTCCTGCTGCCTTTGATCGGGCCCTCGTGCTGTCGCGGGGGTGGGGGGGGGCCCCGACTGCGAGGGACAGGCTGGCGCCCAGAGGCCCGGGGCCCTGCGGGAGCCAGGGGAGCGTGTGGCAAAGGCCTCAGCTTGTCCCTTCCCTGTGGCTTCTAGAGGGCGAACAGTCCTCTTTCCCCGATAGCCAGTGATGCCCCACAAGTGGAGGGAGGCCTTTTGGGCCTCGTTTTGTCATTTTTTTATCAAGTTTTGTTACACTTGATGAACCAGTATTGTCAGCGCAGTCTATATACTTTATCCCCACATTCTTGGTTTTTACTGCCGTCCCTCCTTTCCGGTCAGGATCTCACGCAGGACGCCACGTGGACGCAGGGGCCTTGTGTGTTCTGGCCCTTCTCAGCTGTGACAGCGTCTCAGACTGGTCCCTGTTCTTGATGACCCTGGCAGTTTAGAGGAGTGGGACTGGGGATTTTACGGGATGTCCTCCTGGAATCCGTCTGTCGTTTCTCTCGCGGTGAGACTGGCTGTGTGAGCAGCGGGTCGGTGTCTTTGTGGGGACGACCGGCTGTCCTTGCGCGCCCTCCTGCTGTGTGGCGGGGGGTCTGCACGCGCCCACGGTGGGCGTCTGTGCCCTTGGGGGAGAGGCCCTGTGCCGCGCGGTGTGAGCCTCGGCTGGTACAGCGGCCCCTCCCTCTACCTTGTGACTTCACTGAACAGTTGTTCTCTTTGTTTACAAAGTCCTGTTTGGTGATGGGCAAATTTGTAGGAGCCAGAGCTTTTGATTTTACAGTTTTTACTCTTAGCTTTGTAGAGACATTGGAAATTAACTTGCCTAATTAGAATTTTTACTTGTTCAGTAACAGTCATTGGACACACCAGTAGCGCCGTTTTATGAAGGTAGTTGTAGTTTTAGTTCCTCTTGAAAACCATCCCAGCCCTGGCCGGTGGCTCTGGGCCGGAGCCTTGTCCCTGCACCAAAGGGTCACGGGGCCGCGCTCACCAGGGCGTGTGCGGGGTTGTGCGTTCCCGCGGGAGGCGGCCATCGATGAGTGTCCCTCCCTCCCTCCTTCTTCCTCTCTCTCTGAAACCAGGAAGCACATCCTCCGGTGAGGATTTAAAAACTCCACACATCATTTCACACTTAGGTGTAGCTGGCATCTGTCCCTGGAGCCAGCTGAAGCCACCCCCTTAGGTGGCCCGCAGGCGGCGGCGACCGCGGGGCGAGGGTGACGTCTCCCCTGCGGTGACGAGACGGAAATGCGACCCTTGCGTGAGGCTTCTGTGGCTGGCGCACCGGCGTTTTGTTTAACAAATGAGGGTAGAAAGGGAAATACCGAGGAAGTGTCAATACAGTGGAATACCAGATATTCGCGGCATAGTTAGCAAAAGACAATTTTTTTTTTTTGATTTAAAGACTAAATTTTTTTTGGTTTGGTTTTTTTTGGTTTATTATGAAGATAAACATTTCAGAAAAAATACTAAATTTTTTTGAGCATTTACTTTTGTAAATGCCAGGCACAGGTCTAAAGGCTTTACCTGTGTTACTTGATACAAGCCTCATACCTTTCCCTAAGTTTTAGGTGTCCCTGGGGCAGGGAATGGCCAGGTAACCAAGTCGCAGGGTAGTCAGGCTGGGAGCCTGGCGGGCGTTCTCCACGCGCATCGTGCGCTTCGAAAATGAGCGTCGGAGAGACAACGGGAAACATGGGAGCCCGTTAACCTGTGTTGAAACTGCTGTGATGAAAAGCGCTCGTTGGCAACTAGGGCTCGGCCGGATGGACGATCCTCACAGCTGCGGGCGGGGGCGGGGCAGAGGCCTGGGGGGGGTCGTTGGTCTTTGCAGTTCAGCTGCTAGAACTTAATGTAATAAATTGTTACTTTTGCTTTACCATAAAAGCCCCTGATACTTGTAACTTCCGTTCTTCCCATAGTCCTAAAGGGAGCTGTCGTTTGTTTATACTTCCCAAATCCCGGTCTCCTGCCTCACGGGCGTTGCGCCCTCGTTCTGGGCTGCATGTGGGCTGCTGACTTCGGAGGCGCCCGCGGTTAGGAGAAGGGTCCGCAGCGGTGCGCCTGGGTCTGCCGCCTGGGTCTGGGCAGGTGTCCTCAGGGCATCCGCTGGGGCTGTTACATTGATCAGGAAGTAGCGTTTTAAATTGTATCTTACATTAAATTGTATCTTACATGCGGTTAAACTTTAAATTGTAGTTAAAACTGTGCTCTCTTTTGTGTGACTTCTAGAGATAACAGGGTTGTAACTTGAAACAATTTTTAGAAGGTCAGGCTTCTAAATTCCGCTAATGAAAGCTTTTCTCTTCCCCAGGACTGGCAGCCTCCGTTCGCGTGCGACGTGGACAAGCTTCACTTCACCCCGCGCATCCAGAGGCTCAATGAACTGGAGGTAACGCCTCAGCTGCGGCCCCGGGGCCTGAGTCCCAGGGGGCTTGCCTGGAGATGCTCCGGCCAAACCTAGTGGCTTTAAGGGAGACTGCAGCCCGGCCAGCAGTCGGTTGTCAGGGTAACATGCACGGCAGCGGGGCCTTTGCAGCGACCCGTGTTCCACTACAAAACACGGATTTTTGTCACTCGTCCGCCTGGTCCTTCATTTAAATCCTTCTGCATTTAGGTGACAGGCGCTAGGTTTCAGGTTCTGAGAGGGTGCACCGGGAGAACCGTACAAAGGAAGCGCCTCGGCTCTGACTTGCTTCCGACACCTGCCCTCCGTCCAGGCCCAGTGACACTGTCTTTCCCCAGGGGGGCGAGCGGGGCTCTCCAGAGAGGGGTTGTGTCCGCCCAGGCCCTGGCTGCAGGCCCGGGCGCGGTGGCGTGGGCGGAGACTGGTCACCGCGGTGCTGCGCTGGTCCGGTTCTGCATCGAACCGGACCACGCGTGGGTTTTCTGTACTAAGCAAACCTTCCTAACTTAAAGGGAGCCAGCGTCCACTGGAATTTTGTGGGTGCTGGTGCTGGTGGTGCAGGCCATGTATTTTCAAGTTGAGCTTGAAAGATAGTTGATAGGCACTCACTTTGAGGTCTTTTTCTTTTTTTAAGATTTTATTTATTTAGTGTTAGAGAGAGGAGAAGAGAGGAATAAAGAGAAGAGAAACATTGATCGGTTGCCTCCCGCACGCCCAGCCGGGGGCCTGGTCAGTAACCCAGGCCGGTGCCCTGACTGGGAATCCAGCCGGCGACCTTCGGTCGACGCCCAGCCCGCGGAGCCACCAGCCAGGGCCGCTTGGAGGTCCTGGAAGGTGGTTGGAAACCTCGGAACGTTGCTCTCAGTTCTGGCTTTGTGCGAATTAAAACTTCTAAAACTGACTGACATTTTCCAAGGAAGGGGGGGAATGACACACAAAAATTTTAAACTTGTGAACAACAGTGATAATCTGTTCGAGGGATAACATCTAAGAAAGTGTCCCCGGTTTCCTGTGATCTTCACGGTACCACGAGTTCTTAAAGTCTATATGGAATCAGTATTGTCAGCCTGTTTTCAGTTTTGTGTTCGAGCAGATCAGAAAATTTGTACTTTGAGAGAACAGGCCGAGGGGGCGCATAGACGCTTGCTTGTCACAGCCCGGACCCCAGCCAGTGGCCTAAGGAAGCACCTTTCCGCGCGCCGGTCATGTCCCGGGGGGGGCGGGCGCGGGGCCGGTGGTCAGGCTCTGTGCTAGTGCACGTTAGGGCTGGAATAGAAGCTTCGTTAATATTTAATTCCCTTACCAGCTCTATTTTGTATATTTTTGGCAGTTTATTGAATTCAGAAGTGGTGTTGCACTGACAGTAAATACCGTAAACGTGAAAATAGCACGTGCACAGGTCACAGGCAGGAGGTTTAGAGCAAAGGTGGGACACAGCTCTCTGTCATTTAGGCTCAGACGCGCGTGAAGCTGAACTTCCTGGACCAGATTGCGAAGTACTGGGAGTTGCAGGGCAGCACCCTGAAAATCCCCCACGTGGAGCGGAGGATCTTGGACTTGTTTCAGCTGAACAAGGTGAGGCTGGCGCCCCTCCCCCAACACACAGGGGTCCCCCGGGCCGCAGGGGCGCGGCCGCCTTGGCCTCACACGCACCTGATGGCTTGCAACGTGGAAGGCGGGACTTCTCCACCCAGTGGAGCTCCCGGGGCTCTGCCTTCCCAGGGTGAAAGCCGCATCTTGCGAAATACTTTGCTGCCGCCTGTTTTTTTTAACTTCACAACGGTCCCGCGAGGCCCTCGTTGCTACTGTATTACAGGCAAGGCCGCTGAGGCTCAGGAGGAAGCTGACTACGCGTCAGCCCGGGGCGTAACCCCCCACGTCCAGGTTCACGTCAGCCCAGAGTCCCCGTCCTTCCCCCTGGACGCACTGCCTGCCGCCACTTCTGCTTCGTAGTGTGTGGCGGTTTTTTAAGGTTCCCTGATTCGGCCCCCTTTATAAAGAGATTTAATTGTTAATTTAGTTCTTCCTTCCAGAAAACCTTGACTGCTTTGTTTGGGGGGGCGGGGCACAAAACGTTTATGGACTGTGCTGTCAAAAGCAATGTTTTAATTTTCTCGCCTAAAAATGATAGGTATATGTATTTTCTTTTGGCCTAGAAAAAATGTTTTTAAAAGGTTACCTTAGCCAAGAGCATTTGTTTTTGAAGTTATACCTGAGCCCAGGACGATCAGAAGTGGTTTCCATATAGGTTTCTCCAGTTTCTTTTGCTATTTCATTTAACAGTTAGTTGCAGAAGAAGGTGGATTTGCAGCTGTTTGCAAGGACAGAAAATGGACCAAAATTGCCACCAAGATGGGGTTTGCTCCCGGCAAAGCTGTGGGCTCCCACATCAGAGGGCACTACGAGCGGATCCTCAACCCCTACAACCTGTTCCTGTCGGGAGACAGCCTGAGGGTGAGTGTCGGGCTCGGCCTGCTTCCACGTGCGGGCGGCGGGCGCCTGGCCGCTACGAGATGACGAGGCCGTGGCTGTGCGTGGGCGACGTCGTTTGTGAGGCTTGGTTTTGTGCATTGTCCTTCTATTTATCCTTCCAGTGTTTTTGTTGTTCCATTTTGAGAACATCTGTTCCTAGAGGTTGGTTTTGGGGGTGAGTGAGGTTGTAGAAACAGCCTTGGCTGCCAACGCTGAAGTGTACGTCAGCCTGGCTGCGCACGTCTCTCCCCTGACGGGAGGGGGGCTGGTGCCTCCTGGTCACGCTCGGGCCGTGGCACTCGCCTGCGCCTCGCGTGCGCTCCCGGTTGTCCTGCGGAAGCTCGGCGTGCGCAGGGACAGGGCGGCCTGGCCGCGGGGGGGGTGGGGGGCGGCAGAGCTCTCCAAGGCGGTTCTCAGAGGCAGCGCTGGCAGAGGCAGCGGCAGCGGCAGGGGGAGGGGCGCCGGAACACAGGACTAGCGCTGGGTACTGACTGTCCCTCCGCTGACGGTTCCTGTGTCGCTGACGGTTCCTGTGTAACGGTGATTGTTTCCTTGCAGGGGTGGTGGTGGCCCAGTTATCGAGGTGAAAATTGATGTTCTAATTAAAGTGAAACAGTAGTATCAAAACTCCCACTTCAGGCTCTGGTAGGAAAGAACGACACGCGTGATCCTTTCACGCTCAGCGCAGTGGGCCCTGCGGTGGCCAGGCCACCGCGGCGCTGCAGGGGCCGGGGGCCGCGGCGGCCAGAGCCCTGTCCCGGGACGGGCCTCGGCCTGCCTGACCCCCTGAGCTCGCCTTTCAGCCCAGGAGAGCAGGGCCGCGCTGACGTGCGGAGAGTGGCCGGGGGTGTGCGCACGTGCGTGTGTCAAGGGTGCAGGAGCCCATGGGCGGAACTTGTCAGAACCTCACACGTGGGACCCCTCGCCTCTGTTGCACGGTCAGATCTAGATGGTTGCACACAGCAGGTTTCCCCTTGGTAGCCGTCCTGTCTCGCCGTGGCCGTGACGGTGACGACGGGAAAGGGGAGCCTGTCTGCTTTAAGGGCTCAGTGCTCAGAAACACCCTCCGTGGTGACGGGGCGGCGTGTGGCCGAGGACATGCTGTGCAGACGCCGTGTCTGCAGCGCACACGCGGGTCTGTCACGAGGCCTGCAGGGGCCGAGCACGTTTTAGGCGTCGCTACGTATTCAGTGCAGGAAATTTAAAACCGAAGGGAAGCACGATGACAAGAAAGTTGCTTCTAGTTCTCCCGCCTGTTTTCTCCCAAGGCTGTTGTTAGGCATACGCGCACGAGCGCGTGTTTCTCCCACAGGTGCTGCGTTCTGCTTTTTTCCTACTTAACACGTCATGAGCGTTTTCAATGTCATTGAATGGTTTTGAACTCTAGTTTTAATGACTCTATGGCGTTTTACTTTCATAGCCATATCTTGATTTGGTCTTTTGTATTGTTGAATGTTTAGATTGGCTTCAATAATTTTTTATTATAAAAATACTGTGATGGGTATTCTTTTACATAAATTTTTATGTTTCTTATTTTTGAAAATAATTTTTAGGGGAAATGAGCATTGAAGTATATACATTTTTAAAAAGAACAAAAAATAAGCTCTGGCTGGTGCGGCTCGGTGGATTGAGCGCCGGCCTGTGAACCAGAGGTCGCCGGTTCGATTCCCTGTCAGGGCACACGCCTGGGTTGTGGGCCTGGTGTCCAGCGGGGGGTGCGCGAGAGGAGCTGATGGATGTGGCTCTCACACACCGATGTTTCTCTCCCTCTTCCTCCCTCCCTTCTCTCTAAAAATAAATAAAAAATATTTTTTTCAAAAAGAAAAATAACACTGAGATATCCACTACACACCTATCAGAAAAGGGTCAAGATCCGGAGCGTTGGTAACACAAATGTGCGAGGATGTGGAGGGATGGGGACCCCCCCGCACCCCCTCCCCCGGCCTGGGGTTGGCGGGGGCGCAGCGTTGTGGCGCCTGAGAAAAGGAAACACGCGGCAGCATGTGATCTGGCGCTGTGCTCCCTCGCGTCCGCCCAAAGGGGTCGAACGCTCACGTCCCCGCAGAAACCTGCACGTGGGTGTTCACAGAAGCTTTGTTCTTAGTTGCCGAAACTCGAAAGCCACCAAGGTGCCCTTCAGTTAGTGGGTGGACGCACACACACTGAGGTCCATCCAGTGAAGCAGTAAAAAGGAGTGAGCCCTCGAGCCGGGGAAGGACACGGGGGCCTTGAACGTTTGCAACCAAGTGAAAGAAGACAGTCCCGGGAAGCCTGTCTGCACGGCTGCCGGCCGGGGGGGGGGGGGCAGGGGGGCGGTGCCGGAAGGACTGCCCCGCCCGTGCCTGTCTGTCTGTCGTGCCGCAGGAGCACGCCCTCGGCCCCCAGACCCCGGGCGGCGCGGGTGAGTCACGCAGGCGCTGCGGGCAGGAGGTGCGGGGTGACCGCCGGCCCTTCCTCTCGGCTGTGCCGTGGGCCTACAACTTCAGGAGAAGATGAGCCCCAGCAGGAAGCGAGAAAATGCGGCCGGCGCACGAGGAAGGCGGCGTGGGGGCAGGGGGGCGGCCCTGGCGCGCGGGGACCGTGGGAGGAGGCGCGCGCGGCACCTGGGCGCTGCCGGGGAGGGGTCGCCGTGGCCCTGTGGGGAGGGTGACGTCCTGACTCCGCGCCGTCGCTGCCGTTCAGTCCCAGCCTCTCAAGTAAAGGCGAAGCGCGCGGGAGTCCGTCTGCGGTGAGCTCGGCTCTGCGCCGTCCTCAGGCGTGCGCTGCGGGCACAGTTGCCGCGCTGCGTGTGCGGCCTGAAGAGCCTCCGAGCTGGATCCCACGCCGGGCCTCTGAAGTCCTTGTAAAACGAGGTGGACGGAGGTTACGGAACCTTCCAGGCTAATGGCAGATAGGGTTACGCACATACTCTCTGAATTTCTGACTGTGCATGTAATAAAATCTCTGATCCAGCTCCATGTGTATTTGTGCAAATCACACATGCTTTTGGGTCTCGAATAGTGGACTCATTCACTACGTGGAAGAGGGTGACTTCGATGGTGGATGGCTTTGATCCCCGCCTGGTGCTCGCATCGAACACGCGTGGGCTCGGCAGAGCACGGGCTGCCGCGGGGAGGGTGGCCGTCCGCTCCGCGTGGCTCTGCGCCGCCCGGCCCAGGGCGCAGGTGCCGGGGTGGCCCGCGTGGCACGTCCCAGCCGTGGCCGGGGCCTCCGAGGCCCAGAGTCAGTCGGGTGGTCGGAGTCGGACGAGCCCCGTTCACAGCGCGTCCCCCCTCCTGGGTGGTAGAAGTGGAGGGCGCCTCCCTGGGCGGCCCCTCCCGCCCCCTCACCGGCCGCCCTGCGACGCGTGCCTCTCAAGCTCCCGCCGCCACTCACTCCTTCCACCTCTGTAACTAAGCAAAGAGTGAATAAATACCTGAATAGATAGATAGGTTTTCTTAGATGGCTGCTGGGTGGTGGTTTCGATTTGTTTCCATTTGTTTGTCCTTCCCCGCTGTTCTCAAGGTTCTCTCTGCAAATGTTTTGAGGAAGGAGCCAGTCTTGTCGGTCAGGGCCTGTGGAGCCGACTTCTGGGAGGCTGTTGTTTCGGTGCAGCGCGTCCCCGGTGCAGGCGGCGTATGTAACGCGCCCCCCCCCCCCGCCCCGTCGGTGCGGCTCGGGGCTGAGCGCCCGCCTGCAAACCAGAGGTCGCCGGTCGATTCCCAGTCAGGGCACAGGCCTGGGCTGCGGGCCAGGTCCCAGGAGGCGGCGCACGAGAGGCAAACGCACGTGGATGTTTCTCTCCCTTTCTCCCTCCCTCCCTCTGTAAAAATAAATAAAATCTTTAAAACATACATAAGCCTGTCAGTGGTTACATTTTGGAATCTGCTTTTAAAAATGCTTCCTCGATGCTCGTGGGTTTGCTTGTGGCGGGTGGAAGTTCACACGAGGTTGGATGTCACTGCTGTACCGGCGTTAAACACCCTCTTTCATCTTGTTTAGAATCAAACTGAAAAGAAAAACCAAAGCAAGAAAGCGCGGGGGCCTCCTGTCGGGCTGCGGGGGCCCCGTGCGGGGCCTGGGCCCTGTGAGTCAGGCTTCGCAGGACGCGTGAGCCCGGGGCCGCGTGCTCAGTGTAGGTGGCACCTGTCAGTGGCAGGCAAGAGGACTGTACAATTTAAGACGCCTGTTTGGGTCTATTTTATTAATCTAAACACTTCTAAAAGAAAGAAGAGCTGTTTTCAACATGGAAAGTTTTTACGGGAACCTCTAAGGCACCTCTCTGACGGTTTGGGCCTTTGCTTGACAATCGCAAAGCGGGGACCGTTGCAGCTGATCGGGGAGGCCTGGAGCCTGCCGTGGTCTCTTACAACCCGATGGCATTAGTGAACCAAAGCAACACCGTTCACTCGTTCAGAGAATGGCAGGGGGTGTGCTCAGAGCAGGGAGCCCAAAGAAATGGCCCCCCGTTTACAACACACCCAACAGGAACATGGGGCCATTGTCCCGGGGGCCCAGAGCCCGTGCCCCTCCTACGAACAGGCGCCCTACACGTGTGTCCCCGGCAGCCTCCCCTGCGGCCGCGCAGGGCCAGGGGCACAGGGTCCCCTGCTGGACGAGCAGCCCTGGCTGGGGAGGCCCAGTGGGCTGGGCATCGCCTGCAGCCGAAGGGTCGCCAGTTCAGTACCTACCTGCTCGGGGCCGCGGCCTGGGCTGCGGGCCAGGTCCCCAGCTGGGGCCGGGCGAGAGGCAACCATTGCTATTTCTCTCACATTGGTGCTTCTCTTCCTCCCTCCTTTACCTTCTCTAGATAAAGAAATAAAGTATTTTAAAAACATGGGAAGAAAAGCTGCTGTATTTAGTGGGGGGGGCAGGTGCCACCTAGAACCTGTTGTGCGTGTGTGTATGATGAACAGCTGCAAAGTTGTCTTTGTGTTTAGATTTTAAAAATCGCAGATGTGTTATGTATGAACATGAATGTTGGCTTTTAGAAATGCAGTGAAATTTCCTGTTATTGCAAAGAGGGACGAGTCACCAGAACCCTTCTGTTTTGTTTGTAGTGCCTGCAGAAGCCGCACCTGGCCACCGACACGAAGGACAAGGAGTACAAGCCCCACGACATCCCCCAGCGGCAGTCGGTGCCGCCCTCGGAGACGTGCCCGCCCGCCCGCCGAGCCAAGCGCATGAGAGCCGAGGTGCGCGCCCCCGCCTCGCTCGCCCCGCGGGCCCTCGCGCCTGCACCAGCGCCTGGGTTGGAGGGGGGGGCGTGCCGCTGGCGGCCGAGGGGGCCGAGAACGCGCCCCCGGCTCACGGCCCGGGCCCACGGCCGCCTCGCTGCCGGCAGGGGTCCATGGGGCGCGGCTGGGTTTGCCGCTGCCTGTCGTCCCCTGAGGCTGCTCGCTGAGGAGCGGGGCCGGGAGAGGGGAAGCTGGGGGGTGTTTGCTGAAACGAAATTGTTTTAAACAGAGAAGTTAGAAGATGGTGAAAGCTGTTTTTCTCAGGTTTCTCCAAAGGAGGGCAGCACCTCCGGAAAACGTTGAGGCTGAGACAAAAGAGTTAGGCAGCCCTGGGGGTGGGGCGAACAGAAGAGATGAGGTGGAAGTTGGAGGGAGGCCAGACCGGGGCCTGCGGGGCTGGCGGGGAGGCGGCCTGCTGTGCGTGGGGCTCCTCGGTGCGGGGCGGCCGGGGAGGCGCGCCGTGCGCTGCGCCCCGACCGGTGCCGAGGCGGTGGGACCCCGCCCGGGCGCTGCTGGGGGAGCGGGGGCGCAGCCCGTGGTCGCCGCTGGGGCCGCCTCTGGGTGTTGAGCGATGGCTGGTAAGGGGGAAAACTACGAGCCGCTTCGGGTTCCGAGGAAGGGGATGGATACGAGAAGAGAACTGTTTCTCACTTGGGTGCATTGGCGCTAGGAAAGGACGCAGCGGCTGCGTCTTCTGACTGGAGACGCCTCAGAGTCGGGGACACGGCTGCCGGGAGCCGGTTGGTTAGGGTGCTCAGGTCCCAGTGTGACTGGTCTGGAGCCGCTCTGGGGTGAGCGCATCTTGGCCGTTCGGTGGTTCAGACGCGCCCCGGTCCTGGGTCTGCGCTCGCGCCGCGCGGCGGTGCTGGCCGGGGCCGGGAAGAGCCTGGCGGCCCCGGACGCCCTGAGCGCGCACGCGTGAGCGGCGGAGAGCGACAGGTCTGGTTCCAGAAACACTCCAGCGGCACAGACCACACGTGCTGTTGGGCGTTCCCAACGAGGGTTAGGACTCGAAGAAATGATGTCCACTCGAAGCGGAAAAGAACTCGTGAAGGACGAGGGTGGTGCTGAGGGCGTCCTGCGCAGGGCGGCCGTGCCAGGGGGTCGCTGACCGTGCAGCGAAAGAACTACAAGGACGTGATCGTGGCGGCGCGTTTGACACGCACCGGCCGCCTGCGGCGGGGGCTCGCGGCCCCAACAGGCGTGCCGGGCTGTGGCGTGCGCCCATGGGGACCGAGGCGGGGACTGGGGCAACGGGGCTGCGCCGAGTCTGGGTGGTGAGACCCCCTGTCATCTGTCCCCGATCCTTCCGCTTTTCCCTGTGTTCCGACCCGTCGAAGTGCGGGGCGCTCTGGTAGCTTCTAGGCTTCCTCGCCCGCCCCCTGAACAGTAGTGCTCTGAGGGTAGAGCCGAGAGGAGGATGTTTCGAACGCCCTATGAATCGGGATGGGCATAGGATTACAGTCCCCTTGAGATTCCAGTGGGACTTCAGGAGATTTGTTTTTCAAGAAAATAACTTATGTACGTGACAACTTTTTTTTAAGGCCATGAACATTAAGATAGAACCAGAAGAGACAACGGAAGCCAGGACTCATAACCTCAGACGTCGGATGGGCTGCCCGGCTCCAAAGTATGAAAATGGTAAGAAAGTTTATCTGCACATAGGGAGGTAGCAAAAAGTAAACAAGTAGAAACAATGATTTGTTTGCTAATTAAGAAAAGACTGGAGCACCTGTTATCTTGGGCCTTGAGAAATAAAATCATCAGAGGTCGACCAGCAGGGGAGGGAAGTGGCGCGTAGGCGCGGCGGGCGTGCGCTGGAGCCTCTGAGCCGCCGCTCACTAGCCGCTCGGTTGAAATACGGTTTGGGAGCGTTCGCTGCAAAGCAGTGGTTGCTGAGGAGCAGCGGAGCCCTCGCCTGGCCGTCCGACGGGTCCGTCCGGGGGCGGCCAGCAGACCTGCTTCCGAGAAGGGGGCTGGGCCTGTCTGGCCTCGGCCCAGTGCTGGTCAGAGGGAGGCCGGGGCTCGGAGGGCAAGCCCTGCCTCCTGCGTAGGCAGGACCCCCGGGCGCTGGTTCCTAGTGACTGGTGAGTGGCCGAAGGCGGCCCAGCGTGACGGGAAGTGACTTCAGAAGGCAGGGATCGCGTCCCCGCTCGGCCACGTCCGAGCTGGTTGTGTGCCTTAGATTCCTTGACAACCTTTAATGTCCTTTTCCTTATCTTTGAAATGGGTTTATTGCAAGGGATTAAGTAATGGACGGGAAGCATCCAGCGGAAGGCCGGCCACAGGGTCGTTCGTCCGCTGGCACCCGCAGCCCAGCCCCCGGCCTTGGAGCCGGGCAGCAGGAGGGGAGCGGCCGCGTGCCTGGCCTGGCCTGGCCTGGCCTGGCGTCAGGGTCCCGCCGGGCCTGATGGGGCGCTCCCAGGCGGGGCCGGCGACGGGCGCGCCTCAGTGTACGTTCTGCTTTTTTTAAAAATTTTTCGTGGGACGTTGGTTGATAACATGATACAGGTTTCCAGCGCACGGTTCGTTGGGACATCATCTGTACACTGTGCTGTGTGCCCACCACCCCAGGTCTCTCTCCGTCGCCACTTACCCCCCTTTACCCACTTCCGGCCCCCCCCCCCCCCCCCCGTATATAACGTTGCTCTAAAAGCGTGCAGACCTGAGCGGCACCCTCCGAAGTGCGCGCCTGCGCCCGGCATTTAAATGGGGTGAGAGCTGGCGCTTTATCATGAAGGGACCTGCTGAACATAGTGGCCCTGGGTGCTCCCGCCGCTGAAGTGGGAAGGAGCCTGGAAGCGTGTCCTGTGGCGGGGGGGGTGAGGGGACTAGCCGCAGGCAGCGCGGAAAGAGCTAACTGGGATCCCCTTTTGCAGAGAAAGAGCTGAAGACCTTCGTCAAGCAGGAGCCCGTCGAGAAGAACGAGCGCGTCGCGGAAAGCGAGCGGGAGAAGCCCAGGAGCCGACCGAAGAGAGCCGCCAGCGCCGTGAGTGCGCGTGCGCCGGCCTGCGGCGGGGGGCGCGGGGGGCACGGCCGCGTCTGCGCTCTGGCGGCCGCCGTTGTGGGTCCAGCCGGATACAACTGCTCACGCGCCACCGGCCCACCTCCCGATGAGCGGGAGGCTGGAACAGAAACCACGCTGATGCTCCCGGCTCTGCAGCCGGGACGGGGAAGGGAAGAAGGGGAGGAGTGGGGGGCCGGGCGGGGGGCCGGGCCCTCGCCTCCTCCAGCCCGTGCCGAGCACAGCGCAGGCTCCGCCGGGCGCTCGTGACCCTTTGTTCTCTGCCCGTGTGGGGGCTGCAGGTGGACCTGTACGTCTGCCTCTTGTGTGGCAGCGGCAGCGACGAGGACCGGCTGCTCTTGTGCGACGGGTGTGATGACAGCTACCACACCTTCTGCTTGGTCCCGCCCCTGCACGATGTTCCCAAGGGAGACTGGAGGTGTCCCAAGTGTTTGGCTCAGGTGAGACCCAGCAGCCGGGGCGACGTCGGTACGTGTGGGGCTGCTCGCAGCCTGTGGGTTTGCTCTCGGGGCTTGGTCCCCATGAGGCGAGGCCCTCGGCACGGGGGGGGCGCGGGCCAGGAATTCTCTCTGCGCTGAGGACACCGCGGTGTGCTCTGCAGAAGTTCTGGAACATGAGATGACTTTAAAAATGAAAGGGTTATTTTAGACTCCACAGATAACCGTCGTTGATATTTTGATGTATAGTCATCCAGATTTTTTCCTATTTTAAGTGAATGGAATTGTACTACATAAGCAATTCTAGTCATCTGCTTTTTTTATATGCATGTTTTCCTCTGTGTAGTTTGCGTGTATATATCACACACACACACAAATCCCCCGTTCCTCGCACAGGAGTGCAGCAAGCCTCAGGAGGCATTTGGCTTTGAGCAAGCAGCCCGGGACTACACCCTCCGAACTTTTGGGGAAATGGCAGACGCGTTCAAGTCTGATTACTTCAACATGCCCGTCCACGTATGTACATACGTACTGCTTTGATTGAGGATTTTAATGACTTTGGGAGAAAGGCGGGTCTGGAGAGGAAGTTGAGATGGTGGTCACCTCTGACAGTCACCGCCGTGCACGGCAAAACCTTCCATTTGTTTAGTGCTGTTAAAATCCGCCGACACTTCAAAATGCAGCCTCGTTTTTCATTTGATTTCTCCAGAAACAGGCTTCTCCTCGCAGGCCGCACAGCAGCAGTGTGCGGAGTGCGCGGCAGCCCTTCCAGCTGCGCAGACGCAATTCAAAGGGACCCTCACGGAGACCCTTGAACGGCCCCGGGTGTCCCTGAGCGTGCTGCGCGGCGGGGACACACTCACACTGTTGCACAGTTGTGAATTACTCGCGTTCTCTCTGCTCCCTGAGAAGCTTGGCGTGTTCCGCCGGGCATTTAACCGTCACCCCGTGAGAACGCCCGCGTCTGAACGGTTTTGCCCTTAATCCCGGACCCGTCAGCTGTGTTTTTTCTCCCCCCTACGGAAGTGCTGCCGCAAACACTTCCTGCTCCTTGCACTTTCTGGCTGGGTGAGGTTCTCGGGGGGATTGCTGAGCTCGGGGGGGGAGCGTCCATTTTCTCCCGGCCTGTTTGTTGTATCCCTTTTGGTGCCCCCCGGTGTTTGGGGTGACCTCCTTTTCCCTGACTTCAGTAGCATTGGCTGTCCAGTTACTCCAAATGTATGTTTGTTTAATGGGATCCTAAGTGCAGATTGTACTCTGTTCGACTTTTCCATTCCCTTGACCCTCTGAGCGTCGTGTTATCTCCCCTGTGTTTGCCTGGCGAGTCCTGGTGGCTTGTACGTGACCGTTTCCATCTCTGGTTGGCTGTTTAGTTTACGTGAAAGATGCGGACTTTGTGGGATGGGCATGTGTGTGACTTGCTCCTGGACTCAAGTCAGATGAAACACAGGTCCCATGTGTGCGTCTGGGCGCCTTGTATACCGAACGAGAGACTGTGCTCTCGTTCACGGGCTGCACCGCCTTGTCCTGCGGTTGCCCCTTCGTCCTCAGCCAGGCCTAGTGTCGGATCAGGAGGGGGACTCGGCCACTGTGCTCGGACACGTGTCGAGGGTGGGCGCCCCCCGGACGCAGAAGCCGTACGTTGGCTCTCTGAGCAGAGCGGCATCTGCGGGTCAGAAGTGCCAGCGCGCCGCTCCCCTGACGCCCTCCGGCAGCAGGGCCCGGCTGCGCTGGGGGGCAGGAGTTCTCTGAGGTTCCTCTCCCAGTTGCTGGATGCCTTTTGGAAAGCGGTGTTCACGGGGGAAGCGCCTGGCGTCACGGGGGGGCGTCCCGGTGGGGGGGCGTCCCGGAATGCCGCTCCGCAGGCACTGCCCTGTGGCTCCTGTCCCTCTGCCCCCGCCGTCGCGTGGGGCGCTGGCAGCTGGTGTCCGAGAAGATGCATTTCTCTCTCTTCCTTACTCTTTTCTTTCCAGATGGTTCCCACAGAACTGGTTGAGAAGGAATTTTGGCGGCTGGTGAGCACCATTGAGGAGGACGTCACCGTCGAGTACGGAGCCGACATCGCCTCGAAGGAGTTTGGCAGCGGCTTCCCTGTCCGCGATGGGAAGGCCAAACTCTCCCCGGAGGAAGAGGTGGGCGCACGGGGGAGACACCTGCGTTCTGAGGGGAGCGGGTGGCGGGTGTGTCCTGGCGTCCTGGGCGTGACCGTGACGCGGCGCTCGCAGCGGCCTCCCGGCAGAGGAGAGACGCAGCCTGGAACTCGGGCTACTCACTCAGTTTCCATCTGGTTGTTTGGAAGTGATTTATGATTGCTTTCAGAAAACCCCTAGTCACAGGATTTTTAATTATTTCAAGGAAAAGTACAAAGAGCCCCCAGGGCAATTCTAGTCGCAGCTGTGCCGCTGCATCGTGACAATGTGGGGAATCGCCCCCCTCCCCGGGCGGTCAGAGTGCTCGTTCTCATTTTTAAAAAGATGTTATTTATCTTCAGAAGGAGGGGAAGGGAGGGACAAAGAGGGAGAGAAATATCGATGAGCAAGAGAAACGTCGATTGGTTGCCTCTCTTGTGCATCCCCGACCGTGGGCCTGCAACCCGGGCCTGCGCCCTGGCTGGGAATCGAACCCCCGAGCCTTTGGCTCGCAGGCCGGTGCTCAGGCCACTGAGCCACGCCAGCCCGCGCCAGACCTGCTGATCTTTGAACTGCTAGGGTGCGAGTCCATGGTCTTCCCTCCTAGTTGACTGCTAGGAAGGCTTCTGTTCGTATCCTGGCCAGAAGCCCAGTGAAAACACGAGGAACCTAACATAGAAACACGGAAGTGCCTAGTGGGCTGTGTGCGGCCTGATGAACTGCCGCGGCCTGGCACACCCGTGTCCCGGCTCCGGAGGAAACGGGACGCCACCACGTTCCCCCAGGAGCCCCCCCCTCTGCCCCCTCTTCCTGGTTGTCCCTGCCTCAGGACAGGGCCCCCCAGGCCCCCAGCCGCGCACTTGTGACGCCGCAGACCTCGCATAAACCGGCTCGTGCCGTCCCCGCTCCTGCCCGGCCACGTGAGCAGGAGGCACGACAGGCCCGTGCTGCACGTGCCCGCGCAGCGTGAACTGCGGAAACGGCGTCGGGGGGGCTTCTCCCTCCCTCCCCCCGACCTGACGCTTTTATTTTGAAGGAACCACCTTCACACGTCTTCTTGAAACAGCTCTGTGCAGTGTTCGCGCGCTCGAGCCTTCACGCTTTTTGCCTCTGCGCTCCTAGGAGTACCTCGACAGCGGCTGGAATTTGAACAACATGCCCGTGATGGAGCAGTCGGTGCTGGCCCACATCACCGCTGACATATGCGGCATGAAGCTGCCCTGGCTGTACGTGGGCATGTGCTTCTCTTCGTTCTGCTGGCACATCGAGGACCACTGGAGCTACTCGATCAACTACCTGCACTGGTGAGGCGCCAGCGCGGGGCGCAGGCCCGCTGTCCTCCCCTCGGCCGGTCGCTCACGCTGGAACAGGCGCCCCAACAGGCTGGGGCCGGGGTGCGCCGGTGCTGCTGGGGTCTCCCCGGGCCCCCGACGTCGTGCGCGCTGTGTTGGGGAGCAGCGCGCGTCCGGGCAGGGGAGGCGGCGTCCATGCGGTTGTCAGGGTTGTCTCGGCTCTCGGAACGGTGACAGCGCCTTGGTCTCCCCGCGGGGACCCCGGTGCCGTCCGGGGGAGGGCGCAGAGCCGGCGCCGTGGCGTCCCTCGGTCTGCGGGGCTCCCTGCGGCGGCGTGTTGCGCTGGCCGTCGAGTGGCCTCATCCTGGTGGGGCCGGGGGGTGGGACGCTTGCTTGGACTTTCTGACGTTCAAAGTCTTCGGCCAAAGCCGTTTTCCCACATCTGGCCCCCGCCCTCCGTTTCCCTCCTTTTCCGAGCACAAACACGTTCGAAGACGCGCGGCTCCTGTCCCCACACCAGGACCCGGAGGGCGCGCCCCACAGAGGAGGGGGGTGGTCGCGTGGGCCGTGTGCGGCTCTGCATGCCCGGGCTCCAGGTCCCGGCAGGGAAGCAAGGGCTGTCCTGGGCCCAGCCCCCGGGGACGTTAGAGGCTCATGGGCGGGCAGTGTGAAGTGCTCTGAAGAGCGAGAGCTCTGCGGGAGTGCGTGTCTGTCCCTGTGTGGTTTCCCTGTGGCTGACAGGCCGGCCGCCCCGGGTCTGTGGCGTGGCCACATGTCCCGCAGCTGGCACGGTGCCTGTTGCTCTTGGAAATCGCAGGGGTCTGCATGTCCCGAAGGGCTGGGTGGAAGTGGGAGGAGGACGGGAGCCTCCCTCTGGACGGGAAGTCCCCTCCTAACTTTCTGCCTGAAGGGAAGGCGCCCGCCCCACGTCCAGGTCCCGGTCCTGCGGGGTGGACGGTCCTGCGGGGCTGCTCCCGCGCCCGGTCTGCCGTGCGAGCGGCTTCGCCGTGGCCACGCGGTGGTGACTTTGTGAGCGGGTGTGATGGAAAGAAACGGCTAAAAGTTGACGCTCAAGCTCTGTGGACACTACGTTGTCATTGTGTGTTCCCAGGGGTGAGCCGAAAACCTGGTACGGCGTCCCCGGCTACGCCGCCGAGCAGCTGGAGAGCGTGATGAAGAAGCTGGCCCCGGAGCTCTTCGTGTCCCAGCCGGACCTGCTGCACCAGCTGGTGACCATCATGAACCCCAACACCCTGATGACGCACGAAGTGCCTGTATGTGCCCCCCCGGCCCCCTGCCCCCTCCCGGGGCCCCTCGGAGCGTGGGCTTGGCCGCGTCTCCCGCAGGGCAACGTGGCAGGAGCCGCGCCGTTCGGGGCGCGTCGGTGCCGGGTTGCGCTGGGGACCCTCAGACACCACAGACTGCTCCGCTGCCACTGGTAACGAGGTTGCTACCAGCCTCAGTTCAGGGCCGCGCTCCTTGTGTCCGGTCCTGTGGGTTCTCGTCCACTCGGGCCACGCAGCTGTCACCGCCGCACCCTCCCTGCTCCACAGCTTTTGTGTAAAACCCGCAACTTTAGTGCAACAAAACGAAAGCCTGGAAAAATGCGCGTCATTGTCAGTAAAGATGACTGCGAGAAAGGCCAGGTTCTGTTACGATTAGACCGAAACTCTAACGCTGGAACCCTTCACGCTCTGTCCCTACTTGAAAAAGCAATTTGCTGGACCCTCTCGGCCTGAGTGGGGAACGATGAGCCGGAACGACGCCTGCGGTCGGTCCGGGCGCCGTCACACTCACCGCCGCGTGGGCTTGTTTCAGGAGGGAACCTGTTTCAAGATCTCGAGCTTGGAACTGAGGGCTTCCCCCTCCGGACGGAAAGGTGCCGTTGGCGGCGTTGCCCCGGAGCTTCGGCGCAGTGACGCCAGCTCGAGTGGCGGCTTCCCTGTGGAGGAGACGCTGGCGATGCCACGCGGGCGATGCCACACGGGCGTGGCCGCGGTTGCAGAGCCCGTCCCAGCTGAGTCAGGCTGGACGACGTCTGTCCGGTGCCAACCGAATTCTTGCTCTTGCTGTGCCCTGAATTTTATGCTTTTGGGTCCATAGGCCAGTGGTTGGGGGCAGGTGGAAAGGACTTTGTTTGAGGGACCGTCAGCTTAGGAAATACTGACCAGTCACTACGACAGTACCACCAACTCCTCGTGGTTGGTATTCCCCCCTCATACTGACGGCTCTGTCTGATTTGTTAGGACTCTCTTGCCCTAAATGAGATCTCTGACCCCATCTCTTTATTAATTGAGTTGCCCCATGGGATTCGACTCTGGACTTTCAGATGAGTGGGCTGCTAGGAGCCGTCGGGGACTCACACTGGAAGAGAAAAGACAGGGCTCGGAAGGGCGGTGTGGCTCGTCTGGGTCGAGGGGGAGGCCGACCCAGTAACTCGGGAGAGTCCTGGCTCCACAGCATTTGAACTAGGACTCGGAGCTCTGATGAGGAAGGATTACGTCTGGGGCAGACGTGTGCGAGGAACGTGGAAGCAGATGTGGGGGAGGGGAGAAGCGGTCCCTGTAGAAGGAGCCTCACGCGTGTGCTGGGCGGCGGTCTTCTCCTTTGGCTGGTATCGGCCTCTGAGGGGCATTTACAACACAGGCCGAGCCCACTCGCCCCCGGAGTTTCCTGTGATGTTGGTGTGGGTGGAGCTCCAGAACTTGCATTTCTGACAAGTTCCCCGGGGTGACGCTGCTGTGGGTGACGTTGGAGAACCGCTGACGCGGATACAGAATGGAAACCCCATCCGGCTGATACCGTGGGGCAGTCACAGCCCCGCCTGTGCATCTGTGCGCATCGAACAAGCCGGGGTCTGAGGGGGCGGCGGGAGGCTAAGCCGGGGCCCAGGCCGAGGAGAGGGAGCTGCTTGAAGTAGGGTGGAAGCTCTTTCGTTGTTTGGAGACCCCATTTTGGTTTAATAACGTGGAGTATCCTCAGCCGCTGCTGCATCTCTGATGTGTCCTGGCGCGGGACGCAGCCCAGTTCGGGCAGCACGAGCCGTGTCAGGCCGCCTTGGAGCCCCCTCAGCCCCGGTGGCCAGGGCGCCGCTCCGCTGCGGTCTGCTGGGGCGGGGGGGTTCTCTCCTCTCCTCCCCTGGCTCACTGGTGACTGGTGGAAAGCTGCCCCTTGGGAAGAATGGTCTGATAGCCTGTGTCCACAGGGTCTTCGGGGAGAATGCCACTGAAAACCTCTGGTGTGTCTCCGTAGGTTTACCGGACCAACCAGTGTGCTGGGGAGTTTGTGATCACGTTCCCGCGCGCCTACCACAGCGGCTTCAACCAGGGCTTCAACTTCGCGGAGGCTGTGAACTTCTGCACTGTGGACTGGGTACGGGCCGTGCCCGCGAGAGCCTTGCGCGCCGAGTCCGGGCAGTGCCGGGCACCTGTCACGCGTGCGGTTGCTCAGCCTGCCGCCGCTCCGGGGCCGATGCGCACGTTGGGGGCGCCCCGCGGCCCGGCGCTGCGCCGAGCTGTGCGTCCGGCCTGTCCTAACGCGCACACTGCTGGGTTCGGCTGGCGGCTTTGTTCTTTGTGGCCGGACTCGATGACGGACAGAGTCTGCTGGGGCGCGTTTTGGCTGAGGCTCAGTGCCTGGCTGCAGCCTGGTGGCAGGCGCCCTCTTAAGACCATCGTGCGCGAGCTTCAGTCTAAAACACGGCGGTTTTCAATGACAGCCTTGGTTTTAGATTTTTGGGAAGCAGGACTTTTTGTAATAGTATTAATATTTTCATTTACCTAAAAGGAACTGTCTGGTGTGAGTGTGTGGTGTTGAGGCTAAGGAGCTATGACTTCATTTCGGTGTTTTTCTCAAGAATACCACTAACTGCTCCGTTGCAGCTTCGGAGCGTTACTGTTCGTAGGTTAACCACGCCCAGGTCAGCAGAGCTGCTTCAGAAAATGTGTAAATTCATAATTCCAGTTGGAGTCATTTTTTTCCGAAGCAGATTTTTTTAAATCTTTTTTGTTTGTTTTCTTTATTTTTAGAGAGGGTAAGAGGGAGAGACAGAAGCGTCGATGCGTAGTTGCCTCTCGCACGCCCCCTGCCGGGGACCCGGCCTGCAGCCCAGGCCTGTGCTCTGACTGGGGATCGAACCAGCGGCCCGTTGGTTCCCGGGCCGGGGCTCCGGTTAGATTCCCGTTGTGGACAGCGATGCGTCGTTCGGGCTTGGGAGTTTTTCAGCCACTTTTTAATGAGGGCACCTCATGTGCCAGATCGTGGGGGTGCAAAGGTCTGAAAGGGCCGGGGCCTCAGGGAAGCTGCCCTGAGAGCCGCCGACGATGCCCGAGGCCGGGCGCGATCTTGGCCGCCTCACAGTGAAACAGAAGCCGTGGGAAGTCGGGGCAGGTGGCTCACACGTTTCTCTGTCCGACCGCAGCTGCCGTTAGGCCGACAGTGTGTGGAGCACTACCGCCTGCTTCACCGCTACTGCGTGTTCTCGCACGACGAGATGATCTGCAAGATGGCCTCCAAGGCCCACGTGCTGGACGTCGTCGTGGCCTCGACCGTGCAGAAGGACATGGCCATCATGGTGGAGGACGAGAAGGCGCTGCGGGAGACCGCGCGTCAGCTGGTAGGGCTTCGGGGCCCAGCATCGCGGTGGTCGCGGGGTGTTGCGTAGGAAAGTTCTGAGGCCTTTGATAGCATTTCGAGAGGCCGCTCCTCAGTCTGATGTCCCCCCAGACCATTTGTTTAATGACTAATGACTCATTGAACATCTTACCGTGTTCTCATCTGCTGCCTCTGTGTGTGTGTGTGTGTGTGTGTGTCTTCGGTGAAGCCTCTGTTTAAACGTTTTGCCCACTCCCCTCTTTAATGGGTTGGTGTAAGATCTGTGTGTTCTGCGTGGAGTCTTCCACTACCTTTGGCATCTTGACTTGCCGTTCTCTTAGCAGTGTCTGTCCAGTAGCAGCAGTTTTTCATTTCGATGACGTCCAGTTGATCTGTTTTTCCTTTTATGGATCTTTTGCTGTGCGTTGTCCTTGAGAAATCTGGGCCTGACCCAAAGTCACGAAGATCTCCTCCTGTGTAGTCCTGTAGAATTCCTAGCTTCAGGTCTTCCACTGAAGTTTTCACTTGTTCTCCGGGGATTTTGACTTGCGGCACAGGGTGGGGGTCGAGGGCGCGGCCGCTGCACGTGGATGCGCCGTAGTTTCAGCGCCTTTTCTTGAAGGGGCTCCCGGTTCCGTTGACTCCGTCGCCCCTGCAGCTTCAGTGAAAACCTTCACCACGCACGGGCGGGCCGGTGCCTGGACTCTGTTCTCTCCTCCTGACCGCCCTGGCCCTCTGGCCGGGCCGCGTGGTCTTGGTGACTCTCCCTTTCTAACAGGTCTTGAAATGAGGTGGTGTGAGTCCTTCAACTCTGTTCTTTTTAAAAATTGTTTTATTTTAGGTCCTCTTCCGTATAAATTTTAGAATTGGCTTATTGATTGCTGCCCAAAAGCCTCTTTGTAGTTTGATGGGGATTATATTGAAACGTACGGAAAGTCTGGGGGAGAATCGATACCCTCACACTGTTGAGCCTTCTGACTCGTGAGCATAGTATGCCCATTATACGCAGGTCTGCTAGGTTTCTCTCAGTATTTTGTAGGTTGCAGCATACGGACCTTAAACCCGTTTTCTTGGGTTTATGACAGTGCCCTTCCCGTTTTTAGTACATTTGCTTTGTTGGGTGGAACCCCAGGGCCTGTAGTGGAACAGCAGCTGCTGGCGCTCCTTGCCTGGTGCCGGGCAGCTGGGGACAGCAGCGCCCAGAGGGTGCAGGCGCTTTCCCAAGGTCTCACGGGGACCGTGGCAGCTCCTTGTTTGGAACTGGGAGAGCGAATTGTTTTTTGCAGGAAGGAATTTACAAATTAAAACTGGGTGAACTATAAGTTTCATTCTCAACCAACATCAATAAAATTGGTCCTTAATCTCATTTTAAACAAAAACTTCAAGCATCTCTATTTCAAGGTCCTTTCCAATGATCAAGTTCAGATTAAAACCAAAATTTAATCAGCGTTTTCCTCACCCTCCTCTGTTCTGGCCGGTCTGTCGGTCAGGAAGTGACACGGTCAGAAGGTTTGAAATACGGACGGAGAGCAGCACCGAGGAGCTCGGTGGGTCCTGGCCTGGCCTGACCTGGCCCAGAAGGGGGCAGCGGCTGGGAGGGGCCCCCCCCAACCCCCACCCCCGCCATGGCACTTCCTGGGGCGAGGCTTCCTTTTCCTTCCCCGTCTTCCTTAGGGCGCGCGGTGGTGTGCCTTCCGTTCCCACCGCGCAGGCTGTCTCACCTTTGAGACAGCGGGGCCCCTCCGTCCGACGGCTTGGCCGGGGAGGGCCCCTGGGCCCCGCGGCGCCTTCGCAGTCGCAGCGGCTCCCACACCAGAGCCCGGCTCGCGCCTCCGCTGACCTTTTCCTGGTCTGTCCGCTTCGGGGGCTCCCCAGCAGGTCCACTCTGAAGCCCCTTGGAGCATTTCCTCGAAGGGAGGGAGCGCGTATGTTTCCTGTGCTCTCACCTGTACCCACAGCGCGGACAAGGCCACTTTGGAGCAGGACGAAAATGGCCAGTCTCTAGTTGTATCATCCCCGTCACTCACTGTGTTCGTGCTCAGGTCCGACTGCCCTTCACCGGGGCCTCGCCAGCCGCGCGCGGAGGCCTGAGCCCCGTCCGCCAGGCCCCTGCTGCTTCGCCTCCCACCCGCGTCAGCCCTGCACGCCCCGTTTGGGGGCCGGGGGGGCCGCGCTCGGCCGTGGAGGCCTCTCACGTGCACTGTGCCCTAGGGAGTGATCGACGCAGAGAGAATGGACTTCGAGCTCTTGCCGGACGACGAGCGTCAGTGCATCCGGTGCAAGACGACGTGCTTCATGTCGGCCGTCTCGTGCGCCTGCTCGCCCGGCCTGCTGGTCTGCCTGCACCACGTGCGGGAGCTCTGCGCCTGCCCGCCCCGCAGATACAAGCTGCGGTGAGGGGGCAGGGCGGGCGGTTCCTGCGGGAGAGCCGGCTCCGGGCCGGGGATACTGAGTGGAAAACGTCCGACCTTCTCCAACCCCCCCGTCCTGTTTGCAGATACAGGTACACCCTGGACGACCTCTACCCCATGATGAATGCCCTGAAGCTTCGGGCAGAGTCTTACAACGAGTGGGCCTTGAACGTGAATGACGCTCTGGAGGCGAAAATCAACAAGAAGAAAAGTACGTGGCGCAGGAAACGGGGCTGGTTGTGATGGAGCTGCGTGTTGGCCGCAGGCAGGCGGCTCTGGCCCTGGGCACCCGCGCGGGGGGCGGGGGGGCGGGGGGCGGCCGCGGGCGAGGCCCTGAGGCGGGAGCTGCGTGCGGTCGGCAGGGGCTGGTGGTCGTGCCCTGGACAGAGGCCGTGTCGTCAGGAAGCAGAGGGGCCTGTACGCCTCTGTCCCAGAGATAGACGCGGTTCCTCTTTTCTGTGGAGCCTTAGAACAACTTGGTTCAATGAGGTGCCGTGAGGGAGGCGGCACGGCCTTAAGCCGGGTCTCGGGGGTGCTGGCTCACACCCCTTGTTGTCCGTTCGGCCGCCGCCTCTTGCTGATACTTCGGAAGCTGTGGCTTCCCTCCCTGTCCCTTCCAGTGCCTCACGCTCTCCTTCCCGTAGCCTCCGCGTGTAGGGACAGGCGTGGCCCCGCGGCCTGTGAGCACGCCAGTGGCCTGCCAAGCTTCAGGGCAAGGCGCAGGAGAGGGACTTGAGGCCCAGCGAGAGTTGCGTTTGCTTTGTTTTGACAAGTCAGCTGTTGCCTGTGTAAACATTTCTGATGCAAGGGCGGCTCGTTGAAAACACTCCGCGCCGTAGCCACAGCGTTCATGCATTTCGGGCGCTCACAGGCCAGGGCCGACGCGAGCAGACCCTTCCACGCTGCCCGCCCGGAGCAGGGAGCGGGGCGGTCCCAGTAGAGGTGACCTTTCCTCTGTCCCCAGGCCTTGCCAGCTTCAAGGCTTTGATCGAAGAGTCTGAAATGAAGAAGTTCCCGGACAACGATCTTCTACGCCACCTTCGCCTGGTCACGCAGGACGCGGAGAAGTGCGCCTCCGTCGCACAGCAGCTGCTCAACGGCAAGAGGCAGACCAGGTGGGGGCTCGGGCCGAGCGCCGGCGCCGTGGCGGCGACTTTGGGCTCCTTGTCCTGCCTTGCGCCCGTTACCTGGCACCTGGGCGTGGACAGGGCTGGTTCCCATGGGACTCCCTGGCATTTGTCTTGTAGATACCGATCGGGCGGAGGAAAATCCCCAAACCAGCTCACGGTGAGCGAGCTCCGGCAGTTTGTGACGCAGCTCCACGCTCTCCCGTGCGTCCTCAGCCAGACGCCGCTGCTGAAGGTAACCGGGGGGGGGGGCGGCGCGCCTGGGCGCGGGCTCGGCCGCCCTGCGTCTCGTGAGCCTGCTGGGCTGGCGTGAGGGGCGTGCGTGTGTGCAGAGACCGTAACGGCAGATACGACCCCTCCAAAGGGATTCCTGCCCCGAAAGGGGCCCCCGAAGGGCCTGGCATGTCGCTCGTCGCCGCGTTGGCTCGTGGGTCACCTCGTTCACGCCCGCTGTTGCTGAAACCCCTCGAGGCGGAAATGCGTGCTGTTGAGTGTGCTCTGAGGCTCTGCGTGTGGAAGAGGCCAGCTACTGGGGTCCCTGGTGGATGCAGCAAGGTGTGTGTTTCAGGGTCTTCTGAGCCGCGTGGAAGAGTTCCAGCGGCACAGCCAGAAGCTGCTCGCCGAGGAGACGCCCAGCGCTGCCGAGCTGCAGGACTTGCTGGACGTCAGCTTCGAATTTGACGTGGAGCTCCCGCAGCTGGCTGAGATGCGGGTCCGCCTGGAGCAGGCCCGGTGGCTGGAGGAGGTGCAGCAAGCTTACCTGGAGCCCAGCTCCCTCACGCTGGATGACATGCGGCGGCTCATCGACCTGGGCGTGGGCCTGGCCCCGTGCGCGGCCGTGGAGAAGGCAATGGCGCGGCTGCAGGAGCTGCTCACGGTGTCGGAGCACTGGGACGACCGGGCCAAGAGCCTTCTCCGAGCCAGGTGCGGGTGCGGGGCGGCGGGCGGGGGCGGCGGGGACGCGGAGCCGCCCCTCAGCAGCTGCGCTGGTGCCGTCGGCGCGGCCGTCCTTCGGCGCTGCCGGGGAGCCGGCAGAGGCAGCTTTTTTCCGTGCTTTACTGACTGTGAGATGAATGATTCCCGTGGACGTGCCTTTTCTAGAGTTTTCCCCTGTGATACCCTTTGCGGGCGAAAACAATTCACAAATAAGTGGGGCTGTTGTTTCAACTCAGAGTTAATGACCGAGGCCCCCACGGGGCCCTAAAGAGGAGGCCTGAGCCGCGCGCGCTGCCCTTGGAGCGGAGGCCGCGGCCGCGCGGGGGTGCCGTCGCCCGGGAGCGGAGCCCTGTGTCCGTGTCCATGCTGTGGGCGGTGCGGGCCGCGCCTGGCGCCCGCCCCCCGGCCTCTGGCCGCTCCGTATGGGTCCAGTTGGTAACAGCAGGAAGTACAAAAATAACCTGAGCTGGAGGCGCTGTCTCTGTGACGCGAGAACGGTGGCCGTCGAGGGGGCCGCGACGGGTTGTCCTGCTGTGCGGCTGGCACCTGGAGGCCCGGGGGAACTTCGGTTTCCTTTGTGGGACTGGATGAGTCTCGATGGCACACGGAGGCCCCGCGGGCGAGGCAGAGGCCCGTGCGGGACGTGGGCCGTGTCGTCAGGAGGCGCTGCGGCTGGGGGTGTGGGCTTACGCCGGCGTCAGATGAGGACTCGGGGGAGCTGCAGCGCGTCCTGACTCATTGGCTGGGTCTCAGACGCTCGTAAGGCAGCCACTTGCATCCGAACAGTCGGCTCTCCAGGGGCGGCCGCCCCTTAACGCGGCACGTGCCATCCCGCAGCCCCTTCGAGGCGAAGCGGTGGTTTCTTCGGTAGAGCGGGGGAAGGGGAGCCGTGGGCGCGGCCGGGCGCTGAGGGCTGGCGTTTGCCGTGTGCAGGCCCCGGAGCTCCCTGAGCAGCCTCGCCGCGGCGCTGAAGGAGATGGAGGGGATCCCCGCCTACCTGCCCAGCGGGGCGGCGCTGAAGGACTCGGTGCAGAGGGCCAGGGACTGGCTTCAGGAGGTGGACGCCCTGCAGGTCAGTGTGAAAGAGAAGTCCTGGGGGATGGGGGGGTGGCTGCCGAGGGCGGCGACGGGGAAACGGGGCGGGGGGGGCAGCCAGCCGGTCGGCCTTCGCTGCTCAGACGCAGCATTTGGGTGGCCGCGCCGCCAGCCCTGCTCCCCCGCGTTCAGCGGAGCTCAGACCTGCTGTCCCCGCCCGTCGGCACAGCTGCCAAAAGCCTTCCAAAACAGTGAGGGCTGGGTTGGAGAGCGAAGAAAAAGAGCTAAAAATGAAGTGCGAGAAATGTAGTTTTTTTAATCTTTGGTAAGTATGGTTGTCTCTGATTGGCATCTCAGCCACTTGGAGTTAGGACATTGGGAGGGGCAGGCTCAGCCCTGGCTGGTGGGGCTCAGTGGACTGAGCGCCGGCCTGCGAACCGCGGGGTCGCCGGTTCAGTTCCAGGTCAGGGTCCCGGCCTGGGCAGCGGGCCGGGTCCCCAGTGGGGGCACACGAGAAGCAGCCCATCAGTGTTTCTCTCACACGGTGACATTTCTCTCCCTTTTTCCCTCCCTTCCGTTCTCTCTAAAAGTAAATATACAAAATCTTAAAAAAAAAAAACAAAAACAAAAAAAACAAAAAAAAGTGGCAGATTGAGCCAGTCCAGCTACGTGATCATGTGGCCAAACGAGGTCTCAGGACCCAGACATGTCACCAAGCAGTAGGGTCCTAAACAGAAGTACCTCCTCATCCGTCCCGAAGAAGTGAAACGGAGCACGTTGCGGAGTAGCCACCGGAGCACAGGCAGCGCTCGGTGCTGGCGGCCCCGCGGGCGAAGAGGAGTATGCGCGCCGGCCGGCCGGCTGGGGCGTCGCTGGGAAGGTGGTTGACGGGGGAGTGTCTCCTTATCTTGAAATCGTCAAAAACCAAAAGGTCTCGGGGACTTCTTAAGGAAAAAGACCTTTCAATTATTTAATGGGCTATGTTGTAAAATTTTAATTTACGTTTGAGTCTCAAGTTTGCTTCTTGTCGGTGGTGGGGGTTTTTGGTTTTTCTTGAAGCCATCAGATTTTAGGAATAAAACACTTTGCTTTCTGAACATTGGTGTCATTTAAAGTAGTGCTTATTAACCAGTTGCTAATAATAAATGCCAGAAAGGACAGTTTTGGCCAGGTGTTTGCAACAAAACCTCCGGGCATCGATTCCATCTAGTGGGGACGAGGAGACGTGTTGTGTGGTCACCCAGTTCGGGAGTGAGCCCCGCTGGCCGGGGAACGGCCGGGGGCCCTGTGTGTAGACTGCCGTGCGTGTTTCGGATGCAGGCTTTTGGCGGCGGAGGTTGGTGCTCTAGTGATGAGAGTTCGTCACAGTCCCCTACCGCTCGTGGTTGGCGTCGGCCCGGAAGCCAAGGTCCTCACAGCCAGGAGGGGGCGCCCGTGCGGTCAGGGAGGCCGGCGGGGCTCAGCAGCGCCGGGCCTGGGCGGGTGGGCCCCTGGGCCCTGACTGCGTCGTGTGTGAGGGCTGGGAGCCCCACGTCGAGAAACGTCTTCGTGTTTAGTGGGCTGTTTATTTAAAAACGTTGCCCGGTGCTCTGCCTCACACGTGGGAAGCGCTCCGTGTGTGTCTCGGGTGGGTGTCCCGGGAACAGCTAGCGGTGTGTGTGTGGCATCTCTGAAGCGCCCAGTAGCCCATGCGGGCCCTTCCAGCGGCGGTCCTGCGGGATCGAGCTTGAAAGCAGTGCAACGTCAACCTAGTCTGTGTTGGGTTCTCCCCAAAGGGTCCCTTATGGTTGTTTGTCCAACCTAGGGCTGCATGTTGCCTCTCATTGCCTTAAAGTTTGTTTGCATCCCGGAGAGTCCGCCGCCCCACGCTGCGTCTCGTGTCCTTGTCCAGAACAGCGACCCTGTGGTATGTCCGACCCTCTGGGTTCGTCGGCTTGGTGCCTTGCGGTGCGTCCTGTCTTCTGTGTTTCCTGTACATGGGAAGTCGGCGTCAAAGCCTTGATGGAGCCCAGTGCAGTGTCTTGGACGGGGTGCCCAGAGCGCACTGTGCGGTCCGCCCCGCGTCCTGTCCGGGGCCTCGGCGAGGCGCGCTCCCCTGCTGTTACCCAACGGCAGTGCTGCCTCGCCTCACCGCCCCACCCCCGCCACCGCTCGGCTGTGCCACCCCCAGAACGTGGTCGCAGCACCGGCACCACGTGGCAGCGTGTCAGAAATGCAGATTCCTGGCCCCCGCCCCGGCGGCCTGAGTCAGCGTCCGGGCCCTCGTGGCGAATCTTCCCGAGTTGTGAAGGTAGAGAGCCGGTCAGCTTTCCAGCCACGTCGGTCTCCTGAATTCATCCTTAGTGAGCGGATTGGAGTAAAACGTCGTTCTGTTGCTTTTGTTTTTGTAAGTCAGTATAAAGTCTTTCGCGTTACTACAAATCGACGTTCCTGTTGGATTGTTTGCAAACGCTCCTTGGCCACCAGTGCGGCGAGTGAGTTTCCAAGGGCACAGTCAGAATGAAGGGGCACAGTGCATGTCACGGTCACAGTAGTGTCCTTGTGGCCCAGCACGAAGTAGGTGCCGTCATCATGTGCACGTGAGAGACCGTGTCGCTCCCGTCCCCGCTGCCGTGGCGGGTCAGGCGGCGGGCCTTGTCGCTGGCTGGCTGGCGCTCACTGACGCGGGGGCTATGCTGGATCTCAGCAGGCTTTTCCCGCTGCTCGTGGGAGCGTCCTGTTTTCTAAGTCGCTCCTATTTCCCTTGGTCTCACCAGGCTGGCGGCCGGGTGCCAGTGCTAGACACGCTGGTGGAGCTCGTCGCGCGAGGCCGCTCCATCCCGGTGCATCTGAGCTCCCTCCCGAGGCTGGAGTCGCTCGTAGCCGAAGTCCAAGCTTGGAAAGAATGTGCCGCTAACACGTTCTTGATGGAGAATTCCCCCTACTCGCTCTTGGAGGTAAGTGTGCAGCCGTGGGCCCCTGGCGCGCTGACCCCGCAGCCCCTCACGTCCCACGGAGCCCCGGGATCCTTCTGCGCTTCTAGTGAAATAACCTTCCAGTGTATTTTTGGACACACTGAGTATTTGGTGTCTAAGGAAGGACTTTGTTTTCATTGAAGTTTCTTAGTCTGTGTCAGGGTTGGACTCTCACCACTTGCATTTAGTAAGCTGGACAGGGTGTCGTGTCCCCCCCCCCCCCCCCCCGCCCCAAAAAAGCACCATCACTGCGCCTTATGTATTCCCGTCGGCTGACACCGGTCACGTGTAACGGCTGGAATCAAAGTCAGTGTGTTGTGCGAGTTCCTTCTTTCTCCCTTCTTTGCTTTCCTCCTCCCTTTGCGGAGCAGAGTTGTCCGCCTCAGGGTGGCACGTCACAAGTAAACGTTAGACAGTAAGAACTTCCCCTTCCTCGCACTGCCCAGCGCTTCCTCTGGGACGTCCTCGTGCGTGTCCGGAACCTGCGTGCCAGCGGTTGCACTGTGTCCCCTCCAGGTGCTGTGCCCTCGCTGCGATGTCGGCCCGTGGGGATCGAAGCGGAAGCCGAGGAAGGTGAAGGAGGCCTTGCCCGCTGGGAAGAAGCGAAGCGGCAGGCCGGGGAGCCTGAGCGACCTGGAGCGGGCCCTGGCAGAGAGCAGGGAGACGGCCGCGGCGGTGCGTACGGGCTGCGGGCCCCCGGGTACAGGGACACTGGGAAGGCCAGCAGGAGGCGGAGGTGGAAAGTTCTCAGCTTTAAAAAGGGTTACCGAAACGGAAGAGGTCAAAGTCTTCCGTGGAAGAGGCACGCAGGGGTGCCGCCGAGCCGGGGCGGCCTCCCAGCCTTGGGGGCTGGGGCCCTGGGGGCTGGCCCTGCCCTTGGGCGGAGCGTCGGGGCTGAGGGAGGCGGCCCCGTCACCTGGAGGCCTTTAAGGGGGTCCTCTTTCTCTCGCTCGTTTTGCCTCACGGACGCCCCCAGCTCCCTGCACGTTGTTGCAAAGGGCAGGGTTTCCTCCTCTTGCGGCTGAGCTGCGCTCCAGGGTATAACCGTGCCACGTTGTCTTTATTCTCTCACCTGCCGGTGGGCACCCGGGTTGCTGCCGGTCTGGGCTGTTGTAAGCAGTGCTCTGTGAACGTGGGGACCCGGAGGCTTGTTAGGGTACAGTCCTCTCTGTCGGCGTTGGGAGGACTTCCGCGCTGTTTTACCCAGCGGCCGCCCCGGTCCGCGTCCCCACCCGCAGTGCTCGCGGGCCCCCTTCCCCCGCGTCCACGCCAGCGCGCGTCGTCTGCCGGCTCACCGATGCCGCCCCCGCACGGGGGCGGGGGGGCCGCTCGCGCTGGTCCTGGTGTGTTTCCCCGATGCTGAGCGACGCGCGGCGCCTTCCCATACACCTGTGGGCCGTCCGCACGTCCTCTGGGAACACGTGTGCTGGGGTCCTCTGCCCGTTTGTAATTGGATTGTTGGGTTTTTTGCTGTTACATTATATGAGGTCTTGGTGTAAGTTGAACATTAAGCCCCGTCAGACATGATTCGGCAGTATTTCCCCCCGTCTGGTAGGTGCCGTTTCACTTTGTCGCTGGTTTTCTCTGCTGTGCAGAAAGCAGCTTTTCGGTTGGTCGTAGTCCCACTGGATGCTCCGGTGACACAGGGCACTGCCCGCTCCAGAGCGCGAGGCCCCTCCCTTGGGCCGCACGCCTTCCCCCTCGCCGCCGTGTAGCGGCCCGGCCTCTCCGTGTCTGACCGGGCCTGCCCTGACGGGCTGCCGTGTTCTGACACCATCTTCTCTGGGCCCGTCCGTGCGTTCGGTCAGGTTCTGTTCAGGTTCTGCAGCCCGAGGCTCACGCGGCTGTTTTTCAGGGGCTGCCTTCCCCTGCAGTGTCCGCGGTTCGTTTCTGCGAAGGAAGGCCCCATCTGTTCTGAACCTGGCGTGTGCCGCGTGTTGTAGCGACAGAACCCTGCCGGTTTCACAGGCGAGCTCGGGGAGAGCTGTCCTCGGTACCGCTAACCCATCCGCCCCGCGTGTGGCTTCTGTTTACAGGAGCGACCCCAGAGGTCTGTTACCTTGGGCACTTCGAGGTCTTCGCGTGTCTTCCCTGCCCCACCTTCAGACCTTCCCTTCTCCAATCCAGAGAAGGTGACGGGGAGTTGATTCTGGCCTGAGGACACGGGCCTCCCCCGGTGGCTCGGGACGGAGCGGGCAGGGGGCAGGCGTGGTGGGTAGGGCGGCTCCAGCTGCGGCAGACGCACGCTGCGAGGTCGTGGGGGCAGACCTGGGCAGGGACGCGGCTCCTGCAGCCGTGGCTTTTGTGTGTGGAGGGGACGGCTCGGCCATGGAAGGCTGCGCCCCTGCTTGTCTGTGAAGTGGTCGTGGAGCTCGGCCCGGTATCCGGTCAGGAAACCGCGCTGAGCTGAGGGTGGCGGCGGCTGACGCAGGCTTAGCCTGGGCTTTGAACTCGTCGCCTTTAGACGCAGCCTGGACTGGCTGAGGTGTTGGGCGCCGGCCTGTGGTGCGCAGGGCCCGGCAGACGGCTAGTAGATTGGTTCAGGGACACGTCTGGCCTCCCCCGGCTGCTGGGTGAGAGGCAGGGTCTGTTTGTGTTTCCAAGTCACTCCTGCGGGCCCCCTGCAGCCGACCCTTGGCTGGGCCGCGGCGCCTGTGTTACTGGAGAGACGTCCCCGCGTGAGCACGCTGGCCGCTCCTGTGGAAGAGCAGCTCGTCTCTGTCTTTGCCCCGGTGCCTTCCCTTTCCTCTGCCCTGCCCACGTGCGCAGACGTGAGGGAGGTCTGGCCACGTGGTCCCTGTTGCCTTTTTCCACAAGGGACCCAGGGTCACTATCTGCTGTCACTGTTTCCAGCACACGTGCACCACCTTAACGCCACAGATGGTGAGAGCCGTGGCCGACGTGGTGCGTGGCGGCTGCTCCAGGGCACCTTTCCGTTGCCGCCAAGGAGCTGAGGACAGAGGGGACGGGAGTATGGGAAACCTGTGCCCGTCAGGAAAGGGAATTTTCTAGGAGGTAAACGGGGGAGGAAGTAGGCCCTTTAGAAGTGGCGCAGGCAAAGGAACCGTTCGCAGCAGGTGCCGGGCCGTGTGTTCAGTCGCAGGTCTCTCGCCTTTGCGGCCGGGGGGGGCGCGTACTGCCCTCCCCACCGGCCACCCCCTGCGTGCGGGGTGCATGCCCTGGGCCCGGGAGGACCTGCCACGTGGGTGACGCGTCCCGGGGCGGTGCTCTTGCAGATGGCAGCCCTCGGGGCGGCGCGCCGGCGCGAGATGGAGGCCCTGCAGTCCCTGAGGCTGGCCAACGAGGGGAAGCTGCTGTCGCCGGCCCCCGCCGCGGGCACCACGGTCTGCCTGTGCCAGCAGGCCCCCGCCGCCCCGATGATCCAGTGCGAGCTCTGCAGGGACGCTTTCCACGCGGGCTGCGTGGCCGCGCCCAGCGCTCCGCAAGGCCCCCGCGTCTGGCTCTGTCCGCACTGTCAGCGGTCGGAGAAGCCGCCCCTGGAGAAGGTCCTGCCGCTGCTGGCCTCGCTGCAGCGTCTCCGTGTGCGCCTCCCCGAGGGGGACGCCCTGCGCTACGTGATCGAGCGGACCGTGAGCTGGCAGCGCCGGGCCCAGCACCTGCTGTCGTCGGGGAGCCTCGCGGCCGCGCACGGCCGCCCAGGCTCCGGGCCGCCACACGGCCGCTGGCAGGCCTCGGCCGGACGGGCGACGGAGACCAGCAAGGTGAGCCGTCCTGGCCCGTGCGGCCCCGTGTCCCCGCCGTGCGGCTGTGGCTTGCGTGGCTCCCCGGGGTCAGGAGCGCCTCTTGCGCTTTTCCTTGGGGGCAGGCTTCCCCTTTTCGTGTGCGCGTAGGCTTTTTTGTAGGTTCCGTGTGTGGGCCCAGTACATACGGAATGTACATGTGCTTTTATAAATTTTTTGCTTGACCCCTTTTTCTTTGTCCTCTGTCCTCTCGTGTAAGTCGCTGAGCAGAAAAGGAACCTGCCTTCTGCCTGCTGTTGCCCTGGCAGGGAGGGGGCCGTGAAGGTCCCGGCTCCGCAGTGCTTCAGAGGGGAGGCGGCAGGTTTCAGGCCGCCTGTGAGCTCTCGGCCAAAAGCCAGGCTCCCCCCGCATCCCCGGGTGGGTGGCCTTCTGTGCCCTGCGGAAACGCCTGCACGCCTGCACGGGCGGGAGCCTGCCTTGCGGCCGGCTTTGCCCCGGCGGCCCTCTAGCAGCGAGCTCGGCGGGGACGCGGAGGCACGGGTTCCGGGACTTTGGCCCTCGGCAGGTCTGAGAGGACAGAGAGTCGGTGTCTGCTATGGGGCTCTTTTTAAAACGTTTCTGTCCCGGCTTTTGAAATGCAGTTCCCGACACTTGGCAAACGATGAGCCCAGTTTTCATCGCTGGGGGGTGCAGCCCCCAGTGGAGACGTCTGCTTGCTTATACTAGGCGCACTGGAGTCGTGTGCTTGTTAATAAAGGGAGAGGGCACGCCTGCCACTTACTAGTTTGGGGACAGAGGAGTGTTGCCCGCAGCCCCTCCCGTCGAGGCAGGAAGGCAGGAAGGCGGGTGTGAGGGGCGTCCGGCCCGTTCCCGGCGCCTCGTCTCCGCCGGGGGGGCTGCAGACTCTGCTCATGGGCCCTGAGACCTTCCCTCCCTCCCGGCGGCACGCTCGCCCCTGGAGTCGGTCCACGGGGAGCCAGGAGGGCTGAGGGCTTGGGGGCCTGCGCGGGCCCTGCTAGAGCTGAGTCCAGGTGATGCTCTCTGTGGGGGAAGCCGTGCCTCTCCCCTGGACCTCCCCCCCACCCCACCCCGCTCCTTCCTTCAGACTCTCGGGGCGCGCGGCCCTGGAGCAGCTGTCTCCACGCGGGTCTGTCTCCCCGCCACCCCGCAGGTGTGTCAGCCTCCGGGCACAGCGCCCCCTTCCTCGCCTGGCGACTGGGACGACAGAGCCTCGCACTTCCACGCTCCCTTCTCGACAGGATGGAGCTGCGTTCCCCTCCATGGTTCGTATTTTTGTGTTCTGAGGGCCGGGTCGCAGCCGGGGACCCCGCGGCAGGGCTTGAGACAGACGACCAGCACCGGGACAGGACTTGACTCTGAAACGTTGCAAGTGGTTTCCATGCGCTTGCAAGGCAGCGAGATACCCTGTTTGGAGGTGGGCGGGTGCACAGGACGCAGAGGCAGCCTGTGTGTCCGCTGCCGTCGGGGTGGAAGGGTTCAGCCCGTGCCCGCTGAGAAGCAGACGCAGCGCTTCCATCACAGACAAAGTCGTAGGCGCCCTCGTTACTTCATTGCTCAGGAGATTTCGGGGGGGTCCTAGAGATGAGCCCCACCTGGCACCGGCCTTGCTTGAAGCTCCCTCCTCAGGCCATCACGGGGGCCCACGCCTGGGTCTCCTGGGCGCCTGCTGGCGGCCGGCCATCTGTGCGTGAGCGAGCGAGCGAGCGAGGGGGCTCGGCACGGGGGGCCCTTCCTGGCCGCGGGCGGTGGGAATGCTCGTGTGGGCCCTGCTGCCCCGCTCTGCTCTGGGCATGTGACGTGGACCTAAACCTCACCTGCGTGCAACTTAGAAGGACAGACTGGCCGCCGCCTGCGGGTCCCCCTCCGGGGTCGCGGTCTGAACGTGGGCGCAGCAGGCGGGTGGCCAGCGCTGTGACCGCGTCCGGTCTGTGGCAGGTGTGAGTCCAGAAGTGAACGAGCTGCTGATGGAGGCGCAGCTGCTCCAGGTAACCCTCCCTGAGATTCAGGACCTGTACCGGACGTTACGTGCAAAGCCAAGCCCCGCCGCGCAGACTGACCGAAGCTCGCCAGCAAGGCCCGGCAGCGAGAAGGTGAGTGTCCGGGAGGTGCTGGGAGGGCGGGGCGGGTGGGGCCCGTGCGCCCCTCAAGTCAAGGCGTCTCCCGCTCAGGAAAGAGGGCGCGCCGCCCGCCCCCCCGCAGCCCCCCAGGCCACCGGAGAGCAGGCAGGGCTGGGCGCCGCCGTGGGCTCGCGGCCGGGACACTGGCCCCGCTTCCCGAGTCGCTCTGGGAACTTGGTTCTTTTCAGCAACATGCTTCTCAGTGTCCCGGGTTATTTTTCTTATGGACGGGAAACAGGAGAGATGAAAACGCAATTTACAGTGGGAAGGCCTTTTTGGATGAAACGTTCAAAAGTCAAAGATAATCAGGGAGTTAACGTTTACCAAACGCTCAAACCCCTCTAACAAACGAGGCGGCCAGCGGGAGGGCGGGGTGGGACTGAGGACGTCCGTGCGGAGCGCCAGCGGGCGTGACGGGGACCCTGGAGAGGGCCTGGCCGCCGCTGCTGCCCCTCCGTGCTCGCGACCTGACTGGCTTGGGGGCGAGGCCCCCCGAGGCCACAGTCGGGAGGGGAGAGACTCACCCACAGGTCCTGCGGGCGGGTGTTGCACGCACGGCCGCGTCGGTCGTGACGGTGCCAGTTTCTCCTAACGGTCACTGCTCGTGGTCAGTCTGTAGGCTGAGGGACACGCAGGAACGCCCAGCGCAAGCTCTGTAGGCAGTCACTTGCTCGTGGGTCCGACTAGAAGGCAGAGGCATCTCCCAGCCTCCCGGTGTGGGTTGGACGATTGGGAGGCTGGTTGCGTCTGAAACGTCTTTTTCCAGAATTCCGTTGCCAGCCTGACGGCGGGTGGGCGGCCCTGCGGGGCCTGAGGGGGAGGAGGTGGCCGTGGGCACGAGGACGCAGGGGCCTTCCGCGTTGACGGGGCTCCTCCGAGTTCCCTCCCGGCTGGTCCTCGGCCTCGCGCGCCTCCGTCGTGGGCAGGCGGGGGCTGACGCGGAGCTTGCTCCTCCCCCACCCAGAACGAGTGCTGCCGCGGGAAGCGAGAGGGAGTCAGCAGCCTGGAGCGGACGCCGAAGCGACGCCTGGACAGAGAAGGCCTCGCCCGTGAGCGGTGGGACCGAGCGCGAGAAGCGCGGACCCCCAGGAGGAAGAAAGTGAGACTGAGCCACCCCCCGGACACGGACGCTCTCCGGTTAGAGAGGGCGCGCAGCTGCGAGTGCGCCCGCCCCGCGGACGCACGTTCCCTGCCGTCAGACACGTCCCATTCTGAGCAGGAGGACTCTGAGGACGAAGACGCCATCTGCCCGGCGGGGAGCTGCCTGCAGCCGGAAGGAGACGAGGTCAGTGAGGTCTGGGCCTAGAGGACCGGCGGCGCCCTCTGCGCGGAACCCTGCGAGCTAGCCCGCGCCGCGCCGCACGCTCCTGCTGCCTGCGCTGAGCCGGTCCGAGTGGTTGGCCTGCCCCCACCGATCTCTCTGCTCTTGCCGTCGCTCCTGGGTCGTCTTCCTTTCCTTGAAGACACTCCTCCTCTTCCCTTTTTCCTCTTCCTGCTCCTCCGGCTCTCGCCGTCCCAGCGCCACGGAGGTGGGAGGGGTGCGGACGTGACGCCCTTTATTTGCGTGTCACAGGGCAGCGCTGCCTCGACCCCAAAGCCGTCACGGCCTGAAGAGCGGCTCCGACTCGCTGGCTTTGCTGTTGTGCCAGAGGTCCCAGCGGTGGGACGGTGGCCGCTGGTGGCAAACGGCCTGACCGGCCTGCGGCTGGCCCGCCCGGCCGTGAACCCCACTGTCCTCTGAACACCCCGTCTCCCCGCTCTCTGTAACCAGGTGGACTGGGTCCAGTGTGATGGCAGCTGCAACCGGTGGTTCCACCAGGTCTGTGTTGGTGTCTCTCCCGAGATGGCAGAGAAGGAAGACTACGTCTGTGTGCGCTGTACCGGGAAGGACGCACCAAGCCGAAAATAAACCCAAACACACCCCTCACTGTCGTTCAGGACTCCAACCGAGACGGCTTCAGGCTCTCAGCAAAGCTACAGGACTGGGCTCTAGACCAGCCTGGAAACGGTGCTATTTCTATTCCTTACGGATCATTTTTCCAGAACTCTTTGAAAAAAAAGAAAAAACAACTAAAAATTTTTTTGACACCTTTTGTATTTTTTTCCTTGAGAGAGGTTTGTGATGGTTGAGGTTTGAAGTGCTGACTGTTGGCAGGGGTCCCACCCGCTTGGAGCGCAGCGGGCACCCGCCGCGTCCTGCACAGCACACCGGTGGGGCCCGGGCGGGCGGGGCCGGCCAGGGGTCTGGCTCGGTGTCCGTGCCCAGAGGGCCCCGGGGGCTCCCGTAGACCCTCACGGGAGGCATTTCCCTCCTGCTTCCTGCTACCGTATCGGGGAACTTGAATTTTTCACTCTTGGGGTTTTGTTTCTTTATCCACTTTTCTTTTTCCTCGTAGACTAGGTTTATTTATCTAAGCAATAACTTCTATGTTGGTTTCAGTGGCTGGAATTAAAACAGAACAAACTTCCACACAGTGTGTCGGTGCTTCCGCCTCGGGTTGGTGTGTGGACCCGGGTAGGGGTCCAGGGCCACGGGGGAGCCGCCCGCGAGGGCCCCGGGAGGGCTCGTTCAGCCGTCGGGGGCCCGCGCCCCGCCCCTGCTTTCCCTCCTGGGTTTTGTTTTGCTTTCTTTTGTTTGTTTTGTTGGGTAGCCTGTATAAAATGTTGCCATTTACATTGTGAATAAATCCTTGGTCCCGCTGGAGCGCTAACTCTGGTTACTCGGCGCTGTCAGAGCGGGAGGCTCCCCCCGGCCTCTGCCCGGCCAGGCAGCTGCACCGCCGGCCGCGCCTGTTGTTCTGGACCCTGCTCCGCTGCCTCCCGTCCCCGCTGACGAGGGCCGCCCCCCGAGGCTCCACGGAGGACCCGTCTTTGCGGCCACGCGTCCTCAGACTGTGGGCCAACCGTCCGCAGCTTCGGATCGGCCCCTCGTGCAGATCACACCTTCGCTGCGTCTGAGCTGACAGACGCGCTAGGCTGAGGGCGACGCATTGGACGGAAATCTAAGAGCTTGGGAAGAGGGGGCCTGGGGAGCCCCCAGGCCCTGCCTCCCCCACTGCCTTCTGCCCTCCTTGGCCGCGGCCGCCGTTGTTGCCGTGGGCGCCTCCCTACAGCGGCCGGTTGTGCCGCGGGGGGGGGCCTGCCCGGCGCACAGAGCAGACCCCAGCAGGCGGGGGCTCCTCCGTTGCCAGTACCTGCCCGTCCTGTAGCCATAAACCAGCAGAGCGCGCCTGACGCAGCAGACGCCTCAGCGTGCCGCCCCGCCTGCAGCCGACACGACTGCCCCCGCAAGAACGGCTCCGGGCGCAGTGTCCGAGGTTGGGGTGGGGCCCCTCCCTCGGCTGACGGGCCTTCTGGGGCCCACAGAAGCGCCTCGAGGACAACCCGGAACAATTGTGGCTCGGCCTTTGTAAACGTCCGAATCCTGGAACCCCCGACACTGGGACGGGGGCGCCGCTGGGCTCGCCCATGGGGCGGGCACCTCCCTGGCCCCCTGACGGCAGCGTCTCGGGGGGCGGCGGCAGGCACGTGTGCGTTGCGTCCACCCCCGCCCAGGTGAGCCGACCTGTTGGTGCCGCTGCCAGAGGGGACAGCGGCTGGGCGGTGGCCAGGCTCGGCGGGGTGTCCGGTTGCTGTTTGTACGCTGACACCACCGGTGAGCTCGGAGTGCGTCTGCCTGCCAGGCGGTGCCTTGTGTTTTGTACCCAAAGTGACTGCAGAGTGATGTTATCTGGAGGCCGCGTATTGAGTGGGACCTGGGAAGCCAAGCTGTGTCCCGGAGAAGCACCTGGACCTGGGGAGCAAAGACGGAGCAGCCCCACGCAGTTCCCGTCCTGCGGCTCCATGAGGGACGGGCAGGGACCGTGGGGCGGACCCTGAGCCCCGGGCTCAGTGGGCGAACACAGACGCCGGCCGGTGGGCACGTGCCCCCGCTCGCCAGCAGGGCTGACGCCGGTGATCTCTCGGGCGGACCCCGGCCTCAGGCGAGCTGGGACAGAGGCGGGCGGGCGGGCTGGCTGGCGGCTGCATCCCAGCTTCCCAGGACCGGGGTTCCCATCTCGGGGGGGTAACCGGAAGCCAGAGCCACCACCTGCGGTGACAGAGGCAGGAGAAAACCTGGATGTCCTCGCTTCCACCGTGCAGGGCTCCGCAGAACAAGGCGTGGAGGTGCTGTGGTTTTGGACCTCGTGTTTGGCAGCCGCACCTGAGGTGCCCCCGCAGGGAGCTACCAGCCCCTCGGGGCCTGAGCGTGGAGGCGTCGGCTTGGCGTCCCCCCGACCCCCGACCTTCGCTGCGCTCCGAAGGCCCTTTGGGGGCAGGTTGCTGCCTCTCACCGAGACCCTTGGTGGGTGCTTGCCCTCTGCTTGGGTCGGGCGGCTGTTGGTAGTTGGTGCCCAGCCTCGTTTTTCTGGGCTCCACCCTGCCAGGGGCCCCGCCACGGCGCCAGCAAGTGGATCGTAGGTGCGGCGTCTCTGTAGCAGGGGACGGATGACAACTTCTGGAGTCACTGCCCAACTGTGCTCAGCACCCGCCCGTGGGACGGTGGCCTTCCCTCCCCCGCCCCCCGTGATGAGAGGGACACGGCCCTCCCAAGAAGCTGCCATTGCGAAGAGGAACAGCGGGCAGGGCGGAGCCACCAGTGTCCGGTGGCTCCACGAGGGGCCCTGGGGTGCCCCACGGAACTCGGAGCAGACATGTTTGCCAAAAGCTGCCTACCCAAAACGTTGCATTAAGAAGGAACTTCCACGAAGTAAAAACTGTTGTAAATCCATTTTCAGAGCTTAAGAATCAATTTGCAAGGTGTGTATCTCGCTTCTCCCAACCTGACGTAGCAGATTTTGGTGTTTCAAGAGCGGTTCCGGAGGAGGAGCACGTCTTCACATTGTTGCCAGTTCACATGGAGCTTGGAAGCCAGCCAGCAGCAGAAGGCTCCCCCTGCTCCTGTCTGTCCTGGCTCTTCCTGGGGGGACGGTGGGCGGGGACGCGCCTTTTACCTTGGGGGTCGCCTGCTGCATTGCGATGGGATGGATCGAGGTCGTTTGACCGGTCCAGGCGAGGGGAGGCCACAGGCCCCTTCTTTCCCGTTCCTTTGGATGGGAAAACAGAAATGAAAAAAATGCCTGTCCGTGGAAACAGAAGTGCTGCGGTGAGTGCCAAGGACACCCTCGGCCCCCGAGAAGACGGGGCGCCTGGCCAGCGTCCCTCGTGGCAAGCCTGGCCCGCCTGCCCTTGCCAGTACTTTTCCATAATTCCAGTGGGAACGCAGGCGAAAGGAGGCCCCTCTGCTTAGGGTCGGGACGGGCAGGGCGACGAAGGACGGGAAGGCACACGGAGTTCACCCCAGCGGTTGCGTGGGTGCGTTAGTGAGCTGCACAATCGCGAGGTGTGGTGGCTGCGGGCCAGGGCGGCCGCCCCGCTGCGCGGACGGGTCCTGTCGCCGGCCATGTTCCCGGGGGTCTCCTTGGAAGGGGTAGGACTCAGATGCTGTGAGGGAGGGAGCTTAGTGACTTCACTACTTAAACTATTTTCTTCAATTCTTTTTATAAGAGTTTCACTTGTATCTAATTTAATAGCAAATTTCATAAGCAACTCAGTCTTGTTTTTACGAAGTCTTTGTGTTCATTTCATTTGTTTATGTGGCAACTGAAACCATCCCTGGGAGAGACTGGCTGTTACACAGGAAGGGAAGAAGGGAGAGGAGGCTGGGGGGCTCGGCAGGCCCGGGGGGCGGGCAGGCGGGCGGACAGGCTGGCGTCCGCAGCGGAAAAGGCCCCGGGTGGCGCCGCAGGCAGACGGGCACAGAGCGCCTGCGGCTTCCTGACGGCCCGCGGCCCAGTCCCGGGACACGGAGGCGCCTGCTCTTCCGGGGCCAGGCCGCGACCTGCCGCTGCCGCCCCCTGAGGGCGACCCTGCTGGGGGCATAGGTGGGCCGGGTCCCTGCCTCGCTGGAGAGGCGGCCTGGGACCGGGCGCGGTGGGCCTGGCCGGGCCCTGCAGGGAGAGCCGCCCTGGCCGGCGTGGCCGGCTCCTGCTCAGGGCGCTGCAGGCCCGGGACGGATTGTGCGGCCCGGCGCCGGTGAGCCTGCTCCGTGCCGGTGCCCTGCCGCCACCTTGCTCCCGACTCCGGGGGGCAGATGGGGCCTGGGCCACAGCCACCGGCAGCAGGTCGTTTGCTTTTCTGGGGCCCAGCCTGGGAGGCGCTTTGTTTTCAGAGGCGTCTTGAAACGCAGCAGCCGTCTTTAGCCTGGAGGCGAGCAAGCGCCTAAGTACCCTTGTCCCTCCAGGTGCCGAACGGGCGGGCAGTGCCCTGCGCTGCGTGGGGGCACCGGCCTATTCGGGCGCCGCGGCGCCCTCCCCGCCCCCAGGCCCCGTCGCGGCCTCATGCCGGGACGGCTGCGGTGGGCGTGAGTGCCCAGCCTCGCTTCCTCTCGTTCCCATCCCGCTCCACCGCCCCCGCCCCACGCGTGGAGGGTGGCCCCGAGGCCCAAGGGTGGACAACCTGCAGCGACGCCGTGTCCAGAAAGTGGCGGGCAATTTGTCGTGCCCGGGCGTTCGTTCCCACGGACGCCCCGGCCGAGCCGGGAGGCGGCCCTGGCCGCCACTCCAGGCTCGGCCACCAGAGGGGGCCCGAGAGCACCCTGGGCCTCCCTGCCACTTTCTAACAGGGCTGCCCGGTTGTGACGGGCCCTTTCCAGGCCACAGCTGGGGGCGTGGGCTGAGGCGGCCTCCGGCGTCCCTGGGGCCGCAGGGCACCGTCCGGCTCCTGTGCACCCCGCCCCCCGGCGACCGCTGAGCACGGTTCCGTACGGGACCGGGAGGGACGGAGGCCAGAGGTCCTGGGTGCAGGGAGGCCCCCGGGAGAGGCTGGCCCCGGTCAGAGGACCGGTGTGCGGCCCGCACACCCACGAGCTGCTGCCCCCCAGCCTCCCCCTCGGAGAAGGGCCAGGCCAGGGCTTGCTGCGTCCCTGGGGAAGCCGGCGCGGGCGCTGGCGCCCACAGGCTGCGCAGGGGCGGGCGGGCGGGCCGTACGCGCGGGGCACTGGGGGCTTGTTGCTGCCGCGGAGCCGGCCCGCGGGCCCGTGTCCTGTGAGACCTGGGCCCAGCGCTGCCCAGGCTCCTTTTCAGGTGCTTCCGTGTACTGCGCGGGTGGGCGGGGCTGGGGCTTGGAGGCAAACCCCTTGCCCTGCCTCCAGCATGCGTCTAGGGTGGCCGGGCTGGGCCGGGGTCGCAGGAGAAGGGGGGGTTTCGCCCCACCCTCCAGGGCAGGCCAACAGGGACGGGGGCTCACATCGGAAGGGGGCAGCCGAGGGCTGGAGCGCTGGAAGGGCCTGCTGGCGGCACACCCGGGCCGGTCCCCGTCCTGGTGCAGCGGGAAACCCCTTCGGAAAGGCTGCCCTCCTCAAACAGGCCGTTGAGGAGGAGACTGAGCCGCAGGCGGGACACGAGCGCGGCCGGGGGCCCCGTCCTGCCCGCAGCCCACGCGGCCTCCGATAGATCCAGGGACGACGGGTGTGCGGGGCACGGCACCGTCTCCAGGGAGCATGCACGAGGGGCACAGCGCAGGGCCCGGGGGCAGCACCTGGCTGAGGCGGCCCACCCCTTGGGCTGCTCCGTGCTGGCCCTCGGCCCGGTCCACCCGCGTGAGCAGCTTGTCCCTCCCTCACACCTGCACTTCCTGCGCGTGTGCCGAGTGTCGGGCTTGGTGCTGGCACGCGCCACCTCGGTGGCCCTCACCACGTTCCGGTGAGGCGTCCCAGCCCGTGGGAGGCGGCCAGGCTCCAGGAGCCGAGCTGGTCGGCTCTGCACAGACGGCCTCGGGCGGCCAGCGGGGAAGGCACCTCCCGGGCCCCCGGCCCAACCCCGGAGCCAGTCCGTTTTCCGAAACAAAATCGGCAAGCTCCTCCTAGGTTCAGCGCCCCCTCCGGGCTCCCATCGCTTCTGAAGAAGCTGCAGCCTGGCCTGCAGAGCCCACCAGGGTCTTGCCCCTGCCTCTGACTGCCCACCAGAGCCCCGGGGATGCGCATCAGCCCGCCCTCCCTGAGGACGTGCCCGGGCGCAGGCCTGACCCTTCTGGCCTCAGCAGGGGGTGGGGCGCCAGGAGCAAGCTTGGCGGCCCCCTTGCCCGGAGACCCTGCCGGGGTCACAAACGCCCTGCCACTGAACTCCCGCGAGACCCGAGGTGTCGCTTCGGCCAACAGGTGATGCAGCAGGGGCTTTGGAGGGGGGAGAGACGCGCCCCTCCGACAGCAGCCCCCGCCCTTCCCGGCGCGGGCCAGGGCGTACCCCGATTCTGAAGTGGCCTTCACTTTGGGTTCCTTGCGTGGGGCGGGTTACAGTCCTCTTCACTTAAAATTCGTCTTCTCTGTTGAAAGCATTTTTGAACGACGTCTCAAAGTTAAGTGGACTTTAGAATAAAATAAGTAAAATTTAAAATACACGTAGTTGGTGTGCCCACAACGTCAGACTAGAAGAAAGAGGAGGAAGCCAAGACCTTCCGTGACAGAGCTGCACGTGCGCTTTTAAACCGCTGACCCAGCATCACAGAGCAGCGCCTCCGGCCGTGGCAGGGCTGCTGGGGTGGGGGGCTGGGGCAGAGGCCAAGAGGGCGCGGAGCTGCCGGTGCCTGAAGAGGGGCAGCCGAGCGTCGGGAAGCCTCCAGAGGACAGGGCGCTCGCCGGAGCCGCAAGTGCACATGCGAGGCGGCATGGCGGCTGCGAGACCGCGGCCGAGGTGGGGCTGTTTCTGCGGGAGGCCCCCGGGGCGGGGTGCAGGGGCCTTGGTCCCCAGGGAGAGCCCGGGGGCAGCGGGGTGAGACGCTGCAGCCCCCCACTGTCCCTCCCCGAGCTAGGACACCCAGCAGAAGGTCGCAGACCCCGTGTCCCCAGACAGCCCTCCCCCGCCCTCCTGGTGCGGAGCGAAGGTGCCCGTGCGTGGAGGCAGTGCCGCGAGGCCGCACCCTCGGAGAAGGGCAGAGTTTGGGAGGCTGGGCGCGGCTGTCTTTTCCATCCTTCCTTTCTCCACCTGCGAGGCTGGGGGGTAGGCGTGAGAGGCGCTGAGCTCCCGGCGGCTTGCGACCCAGACGCCCCGGGTCCGGAACTCGGAGGCCGTAGCCAGGGACGCCACGTTTTAGCCACATGGAGGGCAGCACTGACTCTGGGAAGGCGGCTGCAGTTCTCCGCCCTCAGGATCCCGGGCACGTGGGGGAGGTGGGCGGGGGTGGGGGGGACCTGGGAGGCTGGGCAGCAGGTTGACACCAGGCTTCGTTCGATTGGAACGGGGTGGAGGGGGGTGGCCGCGAGTCAGCCAGTCAGCTCGCTGGGCACGGCGCCAGCAGGCTGCAGCCCTCTCTCTGGCCTGCGTCCTGCAGGCTCCCGGCAGAGTGCGAGCGGGAAGCACTGCGGGGCGGCCGCTGGTCACGCCGCAGCCCTGGGACACACCTGGCCGAGGTGGGGCCCCGCGTCCTGCTTGAGTCATGAGGACGGAGCGCACCCCCCACCCCGCCGCCGACCTCCGGGCCTCAGGGCTGTGGGCACAGCCTGTCTCCGTTAGGGCTCCCCAGGGCTCTTCCGGCGCCCTCTCCCGAGGGCCGGGGAGGTGCAGCGCGCCCCGAGCTCCAGGCGAGCCTGCTGGGACGGCCTCCAGGTTCTAGCCCGTGTGACTGGCCAAGCGGTGGGAAGAGCACCCTCCGCGGCCTCTTTCCCCAGGACGGGGGCGCCCGTGGGGGGCGGGCGGGGGCCGTGTGCTACAGCAGAGGTTGGCTCCCGGGGCCGAGGTGGGCACTCCAACCGCGCCGCGGGGCGGGGAGCAGCCCCGGCCCTCCCCCGTGGCCGCTGGCTCCTCGCTGCTCGCGGCCCGCAGGGCCCCCCTTAAGGGACACAGTCAGCGTTAGGGAACTGGCGCGCGCGCGCCCGCGGGGAGACCCCGCGCTCTGACCAACGGTAGCTCCCTCTCCGTCCCTCCTGTCGCCCCACCCGCCCTGTCCCACGCCCGTGCGCCTTTAACTTCTCCCAAGGGCCCCTCTTTCCCACCAGCCCCTGGAGCCCCGCAGCCCCTGCCCTGCAGGTGACGGCGGCAGGCGGAGGTGCCCGTGGGGGCGCGGGGCGGGGCGGGGCGGGGCGGGCGGGGCGCACAGAGCGCCCGTGGCCACGGGCCGGGGGCTCCTGCTGGTGGAGCGGGAGCGGGACTCGGGGGCCTGCCTCTCCCTGGCCTGCGGCAGGAGGCGGGGCGGCTGGGAGCCGGGGCTGCGCGAAGGGGACCCAACGCTGCGCCCTCCGCCCGCGCCACCCTCGCTCCCTCCTCCTCCGCCCCGCCCCGCCCCGCGCCGCAGCGCGCACCGCGGCCCCGCCTCCCTCCCTCCCCGGCCCCGCGGGCGCACAGCCGCTCGGCGGGTCTGCGGCAGAGCCTCTCGCCGAGTTGGGGCCGGGCCGGCGCGGGGACTGGGCCGGGGGCTGAACTAGCGCGTCCCCGCCGGCACCACTCCGCCTTCGCGCGGGGCCCGAGTCTCTCTGCTGCTTCGGCCGCTCCGGTGAGTCCGCACCCCGCCCGGGGGGCACCCCTGCCCCCCAAAGTTTCTCCTACCAGTCGGCTTTTGTGCCCCAACTGAGGGGCGCGGGACGGGGCCCCGCTCGGGGCTGGGTGGTCGGGAAGTTGGGGCCGAGGGGACTTTGGACGCGTCTGGACAGAAGGCACCTTCGGGGGCCCGGTCCCCTGCGCCTTCACGGGAGGGGGCGCAGACTCCGCCGGTCCCAGGATGAGCCGCAGCGCAGCGGGCCCCCGGGACCGCCCGCCCCGGCCTCCGACTCGGACCCTGGCCCGGCCCCGCGGCGCGCAAGGGCCAGGAGGGGCGCGGAGCCGCCCGGAGAGGGCGGGGGCCCAGGGCCGTGCGGGGCGGCGCGGGCGGCGGTGCTGCGTCCCCCCGCAAATCTCATGACTCAGCAGGGCCCGGACGTCCCGGGCAGCAGGCGCCCCCCGCCGGCCCGGTCACCCGCCCCGCCCCCCCCCCGCCCCGTTGCGGGTCCCCCTCTCTCAGGGCACAGGGTTTTAACTGAATAGACACGGCTTACACTCCAAGCCCTTTAACCCAGGTCCCCCCATTTTTCCTGCCCCCTTTCCACCCCCACATCCTTCAGGTGCCCAGGACACCACGGCCCCTCCGCCCTGGCAGGGCGAGAAGGAGAGCTCCCCAGGCCCGCGGGGGGGGGGGGGGGGGGCGGGCGGGGGCGTGAGGAGCAGCGTCCTTGGGATCCAGGCCCAGGACGAAAGGACGGGGCCAGGGTCCGACCGGCAGGCGGGGGCACCCTCCTCTCCCCCCGCGGCTGCCCTGGCAGGGAGTCTCCGTGTGCGGGCAGGTGGCCCTGAACCCGGCCCCACCAGGGCTGGGCACCTGGTCAGTTCCTCAGGGGGACCCCCACCCTGAGCCCTTCCAGCCGTCTCCCTGGCAGGTCCAAGTCCAGCCGTCTGGGTGCCAGCGGCGTCTCGGCCACAGGCCGGAGGGGCAGGCAAGGGCCGAGGCAGCTCGGGCGCAGTGGGACGTGCCGGCCCGGCCCACGTCCGGTCCCGGGGACTGAGTCAGCGTCGGGGTCCCACCGCCCGGCACCCTGGCCAGGCCTCCTTCTCCGTGTGCCCAGGGGGACGGCCAGCGCTCGCCGGCCCCTCATGCCTGGCCTCTGCCGCCCGCCTGCCTCTGGGTGAGATCGTTGGCCTCGTCCCCTGGGAAGCCCCTGGGGCTTGGCTCTTTCTGGGGGCCTCTCAGGCTTGGTCCTTACCCCCTTTCCTGTCGTGCCCAGGGAGGGGCTGGGGGCGTCCGGAGAGCGGAGGGCGGGGCACCAGGGGGGCTCCACCCTGGGCTCCTGTCACCCGGCCCTCTGCCCCCGGAGGGGGCGCCGCGGCAACTCTGGGCTCGAGGCCCAGGGGTTCCTTCCGGGCAAGGCTGTCTTTTCGAGGGCGGGGACCTGCAAACGCCATTCGCACCGTTTCAGGCTTGCGGCCGACAGGCCTGGCCCCCACGGAGCCGGACGCAGGGACGGGAAGGGCCCCTGCAGCCCCCCTCCGGACTGTGACCGGCCAGCCGGCCCCCGGGCAAAGCCTGTGCGAGATGGAGCCGGGTGGGGGCAGGGAGGCCCCTCCCGGTGCAGGTCTGGGCTCCTTTGACGTCCCCCTCAGGCGGCCCACGGCCGGCGTGACGGGGCTGTCCTGGCTGTGAAGATGGGGCGCTGACCGAGTGGAGTGGCCCTTCTTGCTTCCCCTGGATCTTGTCCGCTGGCCGGGTCTGCTCGCACAGCCTCCGGCCTGCGCAGCCCTGGGACAGCAGATGGGGGGCGGGGGCCGTGGGGAGCCTGGGAGCGGACGTGGGAGGGGCGGTGAGCCAGGGCCGAGACGAGGGCTCCGCGGGCGGGAGGAGTGCGGGCCCCCCGGACCCCCCTCCCCGGGCAGAGAGAAGGTCCTCAGGTCGTCAAGGCTGTGGATGGGCAGAAACGGTGTTTCGGTCGCTTCCCGAGGCGGCGTTTAGACTTTCTTGATGCAGCCAAGGCCTCGTTTGCTCTTCTTGAGCCAGTCACCGGGGGTGACGGGGACACTCTAAGAACCAGGACGACAAGCCAGAGGGGACAGCGGAGGGGTCTGCCCTGCACGGGCAGCAGAGAGACCTCCAGGCCACCAGGTACGAAGTGCGTGGCGGCGTTCATTCACCGGCATTCCTGTGCCGGGCTGGTCCTGGCCGTGCCCGGTGGTGGACCCTCCGCCGGGAACCAACGCGCGGTTCCTGCCCTCATGGCACCGACGCGCGAGTGTGCCGTGCGGAATCGAACAAACAAGGGTGCGAGGACGCCCTGCGCCTGCGGCAGGTGGCGGGTGGGCGGCGGCCCGAGAGCTGGGGGCCGTCGGAGAGTTCCGCCTGCGAGACGGGGGAACGGCCGCCCGCCCGCACGGCGGCTGTGACCGCGGCCCCCGCAGGCGCACCCTGCCCCCGGATCGGTCAGCTCTGCGCTGGCGGGGAGCCGGCCGAGCGGGGTCCGCGGGGCGGGGACAAGCCACGACCTGCTTCCGAGGGTGGGAGAGGCCAGCGCCCGTGCCCGGCACTCTGGCCCTGCCGCCCCCGGCTTCGGGCAGCCGCCCGGTCTCAGCCGTCCCGCCTCCCGAGCAGAGACGCGATTCCCACCCACGACGCCGGCTGTTCTCGGCGAGGACGAGGCGAATGGGGTCCTGTGCAGAGCGTCGGCCAGCACACCCCGCGGCGGCCACTGGCACCACGAGGGCCCCTCCCCCGCCCACAGGCAGGGTGCTCCCGGGCCCCCCGCGGGGCGACCCCCGTCCACCTCTTTCTCGTGGACTCAGGGCAAGCGCCGCTCTGACTCCTTGGTGGCTCTCGGCGTCTCAGGCTGTCCCTTGTGCCTCACGAGCCGCCTCTTGCCGAAGCTTAACTCCTGGGGTGGGTCTGTCCCCGCACACCCTTCCTTTCACCCCTGGAACAGACAGTTCAGGGCAACAGCCCGAGCGATGAGTCCACGGGGCTCCAGGCCGAGAAAGACCCGGCCAGCGCCTGTGCGCCCGGACCGCGGGGACCGCTGGCTGCCAGCCTCCCCCGAACTCCCGCAAGGGCCCGCGGGTCAATGGCAGGACGCCCCGAATACAGGGGACACAGAGGCGACGTGCCGACTTCCTCCCCAGGGGCTTTCCTGAACACGGGCCGCCCGCCCGGGCCACGCCCGGAGGGACGGAGTCCCTGTCTCCCGTCTGTGGCGCGCGCTCACCCTCCCGTTTCTCGGCAGAGGCCCAGAGCGGTGACGTCCGTGAGTTGCTCAAAATCTCACGCCATCCCCAGCCCCCAGGCGCTGTGGGGGCCTTCCAGGCCCCTGTGGCTGGTGGGCCAGGACTTTCTCTCTGCGGCCAGCCCCTCCCGGGCCCTGCCCACCTCCCGCCTGCAGCCGGGAGCCCGCGGTTGGGGTCCTCGGAGGAGGGCACCTCGCTTCGAGCGCGAGCCGGAGGCAGCGGACTTCCCCAGGGCCGGACGGCGGCCCTGCAGACAGGGGTCAGCCCCCGGGGCTGGGTGTCCTGGGAGTGTCTGCTCTGAAGGGGCCGCAGGAGCCAGGGGCTGGGCCCGAGAAGACCGTGGCCCCGGGTGGGCCCTGCGCCGCTCAGCAGCCTGCGCCCGGGGCGCTGCCGGTGCCTGGCTCCCTCCGAAGCGGGTCCTGGGGCAGGACAGAGAGGCGCCTGACAGGCAGGGAGACGGGGTGCCGCTGCCCGGCTGCTTCTCCGCTTTGCAGAGTCCAGGTTCGAGACGCCTGGACCCGCCGAGGCCGGCCAGGATCCCCTCCGCTCCCCTCCCTCCTCTCCCTCTTCTGGTTCGGATGGGCCGGGCCCCAGGGCCCAAAGGGAGCGCAGAGCGTCTCCCCCATCGGCCTGGGTGCCCCCCGAGGGCAGGGTCCCCGCCCCCAGGCGCAGGAGCCTTCACGGCGGCCGGCGCAGGGCGGCCGGGCTCCCTGGGAGGGAAGCCGGGGGGCTCGAGGCCGCGTCGTGGGACAGGCTGGGCCCCGCGTAGGACAGCGGCTGGGTGGGGAGGCGCGCCTGAGGCGCCCTGGGGGTCCATGGGGGCCCAGGCCTTGCAGAAGCCTCGCTGGGTTTACCCACAAGGCTTCTGGGCTGGTTGGACCGCGGCCCTGGAATGGGAACGTCGCTGACGTTCGGGGCGGAGCTCGCCCTTCGCCGTCCGGGCTGCGCCTCGGGGTCGCGGGTGTGGGGCTGAGGGGGGCACTGGGCCCAGGGAAAGGGACGTGGGTGGGGGCGGGGCAGGAGGCCCCGGGCCGGGTGGGTGGGCGGGCGGAACGTACCCCTTCCGCTGCCAAGTGGGCTGAGCCCCCGACCTGGCGCGAGGCCCCGTCGCCCCAGCAGAGGCCCCTGAGGCGCGACCCTGGCCGTCCCGGCGGGGGAAGTGGCCACGAGGACCGGAGGCAGAGGCCCCGGGGCGGGGGCTGTTCTCCCCGGTGCCGCCCCGAGGGGGTTTCTCCGTGAGCGGGCACACGTGTGCGCGCGGGAGGGAGAGGAGAGGCTTGTACCTTGTGCTTCCTCCTCTCACTCCTTCCTTCCCTCTGCACCCCTCCTCCCTCCCGCTCGTCTCCCCTGAGGCAGGGCAGGCCCCTGAGTGTGGCCTGGGCCCCCAGCCGCTGCCGCCTGTCCCCCCGCAGCAGAACCAACTCCCCAGACCCGTGGAGTCTGGTCTGAACGAAAGGTCTGTTCCGTGGCGGGCACATCCCTCTTCTTCTGAAAAGTGCCGTGTGCAGAGAGGAACCCGTCCCGAGGCCTCGGCGGAGCCGCACGCCTGGCTCCTGCCTGCGAGGAGGGGCCCGTGGCCTCCGTGCTGGGGGGTCTCCCCGGACCCGCCGTGCCTTTCCCCTCTTGTGTTTATTTGTAGAAAAGCGTATTTAGCAAGCGTGCGCGCGGTGGTTTGTCTCCTCCCCGGGGCTGCCTGGCCCTGTTCTCACTGTGTCCACGGATCCCTCGCTGCGCCAGCGGACAAGGACCAAGGGCACA